TGTTGGCCGTGAGCTGGAATCGAATTCGGGTCACCGGGTTCATTGGGCAGTGAGCTAGCCACTACACTACTGCTTCCCGCTACACTACTGCTTCCCGCAGGAGATATCACAAACACGCTTCCCATAGGCACAAGGCGCTGCGTCCTACAACATGTTCCATGACACGAAGGTTTCGGAAAGCTCTCCAATGTTTTTTTTTATCTAGCCACATGTTGTTCGGCACGATGTCCGACGTTTCCGAGCCACTTTCAATTCAGTTTAACACGTAGGCTTTCGCGACCAATATTATTCATAAGAGAGGTTTTTTCGGTTGGATCACGTAAATATAAACGTGTCGTTAAACCCGCCACCACCCGACACAGCCAATTATGTTTGTCACGACTTAAAGCTTTCGTGACTACAGGAATACATATTCTATGGGTCTTTCGGTAAAGCCACGTAGATAGAAAAATAATAAAAACACGTCGTGATATTTGTATTATTTTTCTATCTACGTGGCTTTACGGAAAGACCCATAGACTATGTTTGTACGTAAACAAAACATTCCAATTCGTTACTCGTGCAGCACACCAGTGTGTGTAGAAGAGCGTATTAACCCATACATTAACCCCCTCTGCCCTTCGCACAAGATTGGCTCACAAGTGACGACGTAACATTTATCCCTCTTAGACCGATACGGGGATTTCTCCACAACTCTGGGTGGCGATTGATAATCTTAGTTGAAATTACTGGCGAAACGTCGTACTCGAATTGTAAATGTTGTGGGTTTATTCTCCAACACACAAGCGGTGTTCTTTACTAGAAACGAATTGGCACGTTTTGTTTACGTGACAAACCTTACTAATTCGCTGTGTCAGGTGATGGCGGGTTTAGCGACACATTTATAGTTACACAATCTAACCCAATAAAAACCTCTTATGGACACTTTCAATTCGTTTATAACAAACTTCACCGCTGCATTGGGTGAAATAAGCAGGGCCCCAGGCCGACTCATTGAAAGGCAGTCAAACTCCTGGGGACAGGTGACACATGGGAATTCCGCTGTAGAGTCATAATGATAGGCCTGAATCCAGCCGCAGTTCGGACCGACGGACCGGACCCTGATCCATCAGTCGCACGCACAAAATTTTCGTGTCGATTTGATGAACATGCGGGGAGAGTGTAGAGTGGCTCTGCACGTTGCAGGGTCTCTGTGTGTGTGAGCCGCTAGGCCAGGGGCCGGCAATCAAAATAACTACACGAAGAGGTATTTATTTCAAATAACAATAAAAAAACTCAATACTTCAAGAGACGCAGTGCACACGGTGAATACCAGACGGTCGTTTTTTTATATATAGACGGCGGTCACAAAGCGGTCCTTAAAGAGCCGCACGTGGCTCCGGAGCCGCAGGTTCCCGACCCCTGCGCTCGACCCACCTCCAAACGAACGCGTCGTGTGATGGGCTACTGCCAACAGGCGCTGCTGGTCATGATGAGATGGGTCTACAAGTCTCACGTAGATGCACGTGTCTAGCTCAACTGATGGCATTAAGGCCCTCGCCAATGAATTCGATCCTTCCCTAAATGTTTACGTTCAACAGCTGCAAGCCGAACCTTGAGCCGAGATGATGCTGTTGTCTGCGTGGCTGTTATGGAGTTGCCGTGGTGACCATGGTCCTGGTGTTGTCTCCGGAGTTGCCGCCCGTGTCCAGCTCCTGCGGATTCCGCTGATGTGGCTTCCCCGCAACTTCATTCGCGGCTTTGTAGGGTTTTTGTTGTTGTTGCTTGGGGGAGCGAAATCCCTGGGTGGTAATCATCATCATAACAACACCGATGTCATTTACCTATCCAGGAAAAACCTCACTGAGCCACAAGGCTTTGCGGGGCCTTCAGCAGTAGAATGTTTGGCCCGTTCCTTGGAGAGTTCTTTTTTGGAAGTGGGATGAACTCGCAGGAACCTGGGGAAAAAAAACACCCAGGTAATCCTGGAGTTCACACTTAAATGATTATTAGCATGGTTGGCGATGTGCGGTGCGGAAGACGTTCGGCATACACACATCACGCAAATGTCCACGTAAATGGGTTCACTAACCTGCTTCTGGCCTCGGCTTCGCGAACGTTCATGCCGGCAGGATAGCAAGTCAGCCCCTGTGGTGCCTTGAGTACCGGGTGCATGAACTCGGATTTCCGTGCTGTATTTACGACAGAACAGCAGTTTAGTGGGGGTAATTAATGAAAGACACCCTGACGACTGACGGTGAAACGTGGACACAACAAAGACAACCGCCGCAAGCCGCAATAGCCCCACCAAAACAATATTTTAGCGCGTGTTTAACGCACACGGCGCGGTGTTTACGCTCGACACGGCCGCGCGTAAACACGCGACGGTCGAGCGGCGAGCGAGGAGGGAGACGAATGTGAGCGGACCGCGCGCAACCGAATGAGCGGAGTAAAAGGCGACGATGCACCCGTAAACACCGCTGGCAGCGGGCAGTCCGTGGTGCGTGCGAGGGCACTCGGCCGTCACCGCTCGCCCTATTTGGAGCTTTCTCTCTCCCACTCGCTGTTGACACCGCGGGGCACGGGGACAGAGTGCACCGCAGGTGATCCACACAAGGGCCATTTAACATTTGTACGAGATGAGGGTCACTGAGCTATGTCGCGATGTTTCAGAAGTGACATGGCCACAAATTATAGCGCAACAAAGTGGCTTATCACGTGGATATTTACGGCAGCCAAATGTTCTGAACGCGTGTTGATTCTAAACGTGGAGGGAAGAAACGGGAGGGGACCCGGAGAACAATCCACTCAACCAAGGGGAGGGAGAAATGCAAACTCGAAATATACAGCATGCGTCAGGGTCGAGATCGAATCCACGGCCTCCTGGATACCAAGCGAGGTGATCAACATCTCGCCGCTTCGAGATGTTGACTACGAACTGTAGCACAGGCATTGTATGTATGTTGAACTTCGTTCACACTGGTTTTGAGCCAACTACGCCCAGGATGCGTTCCTGAAAACCAGAACATGAATCGAAATTACTTAAATCGAAGCAGACAGATGAGATGGTGCATTTTAACGTGGTGCGGAACCTCATAGAGTACGTGTACACATGGAAGAGACTATAGCCAGTCGTGGACGCTCATGCTTGGGCGCCATCTGGCACCTGAATGTTGCCGTGCAGACGAAACAATGTTGGCTCTTCGTGGTGAAGTTCGTAAATCTCGAGTACGTCATGGCGAGGTACCACATTGTGTAAAGCCGTATCGGGTATCAGTAGTTTGAGTACGTTGGAGCAAAGGTACGTAGAGCGGGAGGGCGTACATCGGGGTATTACGACAACAATGTCAACTGGTCACGTGGTGCACGGTATTCACTCGCTCGCGTCGAGAGAGAACGACTCGGAGCCGCGAGGAGGAACCGCAGGCACGTGGGTTGGCAGCGGCCACGTGTTCGGCCGCTGCCAACAGTTGCCCAAGCTCTGCGGTCCATATGAAGGTGCTGGCAGCCAACTAACGGGAGTTTACACGTGGGAAGGGAAACCGCAGTGCCCTGAGAATACCCACGCGTGCGAGGGAGAAACACTCTATCCTGTACAGTTGAGGTGCTATGCCATGGCATAGCACCTCAACTCCCACAGAAGACCGGCATCTGTGCGGCGATCCACCAACCCTCGCTGCTGCCTCCACATCGCTGGGTCACAGCAGCCACTGCCACCGCCCACATAGCGCTGGGTCTGATCATTACTCACCCTCGTGTTCAAGTTATTATCTTCTCAATTTTTGCTGCCTCTCTCTCTCCGTTCCTCTTCTCCTTGTACTCGATCCACGCTTTCGCTCTCTCTTCTTGCACCCCCCCCCCCTTCAGTGGAACAAACTTCCCCCTCTGCATGAAGCAGTCACCTTCGCTCACGAAGTTTCCACCCCTCACTCAAAACGCAGTCTGATTGTTCACTAGCTCACCCTTAATCTCCGCCTCTCATAACCACCACCACCAGCACCGTGACTGCTCCCTCTTCATAGTCTCATTACACGACTCTCACTCATTAACCCGGTTCATTCAATCCATCATCATTCACTGTCATCAATGTCGCTGTCACCGATGTCACGCATCATCGTAGATTCGCCTCCATTGCTTCTTCTCGTCTATTTCATTCACCTCGTCTCCACCACCATCATCATCACAGCCATACGTTGTACCGTTGTTCATTCTCTGTAAAGTGCCTTGGTTAAGGTGCTTTATAAATGCCGTTAAGATAATGTTAGATTAAAAGGTTTCAAGTTCATTTCCAAAACTGACAATTAAACGCGTCTCCTCCTCGTTTTCCACAGTGGCATGGGCCCCTGGGACTAACGAAGAGGTGCCTACATTTTCCGATAAGAAAAAATAAACATCCTCATATCATGGATAGAAATCCTCTCTCGAGTAGGGGGGGGGGGGCGGGGGGAACCATCGTATTGAGAATACAATGCCTTATTGTACATAACAGGCGTCTAATTGCGTCCCAGTGCGTCGCGACAGCAGCTTCCATCTGTTTGCTGATGTAAGGGTCAGTTGACACCCTGGATACCGTTGCAAACAACAAGGTGTCACGTCTCAAGGGAAAAGCAGATGTCCAAATGATGGGCCACTTTGTTGGGCTGTCATTTGTGGCCAGGTCGCTTCTGAAAAATAAGTGAATGCCTCAGTGGGCTTTGCCTGGTAGGATGGGGATGGTTTAGTTTTATTTGTATGTTTTGGGTGATTCGTTTACCTTTCTTGTGCTTTGCACTCCGATCGTGTTTTGTATTGTTTGTTGTTGTAACGTTCTTAACTGGTGCCCCAACTAGACATCTGTGAAAAAATTGCTTTATAGCTCATCGGATTCCTCCTGCAGTATAAATAAATATTCCGTTTCTGATCTAAATCTCCGTAAACTGTGTCGAATAGGAAGAGTGGCGCTCTGTGTTGAGACATTAGCGGCAGGCGCCTTAAAAATAAATGTCAATTATCTATTTTTATTATTACGTTACCTTCTACAGATACCCGAACGTCCGCGTCCACAACTTCACCACGAGCTGGAGAGACGGCCTCGCGTTCAACGCCCTGATTCACAAGCACAGGTAACCGCTGATTCACACGCACAGGTAACCGCTGATTCACAAGCACAGATAACCGCTGATTCACAAGCACAGGTAACCGCTGATTCACAAGCACAGGTAACCGCTGATTCACAAGCACAGGTAACCGCTGATTCACAAGCACAGGTAACCACTGATTCACAATCACAGGTAACCGCTGATTCACAATCACAGGTAACCGCTGATTCACAAGCACAGGTAACCGCTGATTCACAAGCACAGGTAACCGCTGATTCACAATCACAGGTAACCGCTGCTTCACAATCACAGGTAACCGCTGATTCACAATCACAGGTAACCACTGATTCACAATCACAGGTAACCGCTGATTCACAAGCACAGGTAACTACTGATTCACAATCACAGGTAACCGCTGATTCACAAGCACAGGTAACCGCTGATTCACAAGCACAGGTAACCGCTGATTCACAAGCACAGGTAACCGCTGATTCACAAGCACAGGTAACCGCTGATTCACAAGCACAGGTAACCGCTGATTCACAATCACAGGTAACTGCTGATTCACAAGCACAGGTAACCGCTGATTCACAAGCACAGGTAACCGCTGATTCACAATCACAGGTAACCGCTGATTCACAAGCACAGGTAACCGCTGATTCACAAGCACAGGTAACCGCTGATTCACAAGCACAGGTAACCACTGCTTCACAATCACAGGTAACCGCTGCTTCACAATCACAGGTAACCGCTGATTCACAATCACAGGTAACCGCTGATTCACAAGCACAGGTAACTACTGATTCACAATCACAGGTAACCGCTGATTCACAAGCACAGGTAACCGCTGATTCACAAGCACAGGTAACCGCTGATTCACAAGCACAGGTAACCGCTGATTCACAAGCACAGGTAACCGCTGATTCACAAGCACAGGTAACCGCTGATTCACAATCACAGGTAACTGCTGATTCACAAGCACAGGTAACCACTGATTCACAAGCACAGGTAACCGCTGATTCACAAGCACAGGTAACCGCTGATTCACAAGCACAGGTAACCGCTGATTCACAATCACAGGTAACCGCTGATTCACAATCACAGGTAACCGCTGCTTCACAATCACAGGTAACCGCTGATTCACAATCACAGGTAACCGCTGATTCACAAGCACAGGTAACTACTGATTCACAAGCACAGGTAACCGCTGATTCACAATCACAGGTAACCGCTGATTCAGAAGCACAGGTAACCGCTGATTCACAAGCACAGGTAACCGCTGATTCACAAGCACAGGTAACCGCTGATTCACAAGCACAGGTAACCGCTGATTCACAATCACAGGTAACTACTGATTCACAAGCACAGGTAACTGCTGATTCACAAGCACAGATAACCGCTGATTCACAAGCACAGGTAACCGCTGATTCACAATCACAGGTAACCGCTGATTCACAAGCACAGGTAACCGCTGATTCACAATCACAGGTAACCGCTGATTCACAAGCACAGGTAACCGCTGATTCACAAGCACAGGTAACCGCTGATTCACAAGCACAGGTAACCGCTGATTCACAATCACAGGTAACCGCTGCTTCACAATCACAGGTAACCGCTGATTCACAATCACAGGTAACCGCTGATTCACAAGCACAGGTAACTACTGATTCACAAGCACAGGTAACCGCTGATTCACAATCACAGGTAACCGCTGATTCAGAAGCACAGGTAACCGCTGATTCACAAGCACAGGTAACCGCTGATTCAGAAGCACAGGTAACTACTGATTCACAATCACAGGTAACCGCTGATTCAGAAGCACAGGTAACTGCTGATTCACAATCACAGGTAACCGCTGATTCACAAGCACAGGTAACCGCTGATTCACAAGCACAGGTAACCGCTGATTCACAAGCACAGGTAACCGCTGATTCACAATCACAGGTAACCGCTGATTCACAAGCACAGGTAACCGCTGATTCACAAGCACAGGTAACCGCTGATTCACAAGCACAGGTAACCGCTGATTCACAAGCACAGGTAACCGCTGATTCACAAGCACAGGTAACCGCTGATTCACAAGCACAGGTAACCACTGATTCACAAGCACAGGTAACCGCTGATTCACAAGCACAGGTAACCGCTGATTCACAAGCACAGGTAACCGCTGATTCACAAGCACAGGTAACTGCTGATTCACAATCACAGGTAACCGCTGATTCACAAGCACAGGTAACTACTGATTCACAATCACAGGTAACCGCTGATTCACAAGCACAGGTAACCGGTGATTCACAAGCACAGGTAACCGCTGATTCACAAGCACAGGTAACCGCTGATCCACAAGCACAGGTAACCGCTGATTCACAAGCACAGGTAACCGCTGATTCACAAGCACAGGTAACCGCTGATTCACAAGCACAGGTAACCGCTGATTCACAAGCACAGGTAACCGCTGATTCACGAGCACAGGTATCGCGACGATGTGGCCTGAGTCTCGCGATGGGCGACGAGGTCCCCCGCCCTTTCTCTCTCTCTCGTCCTGATGACGATGACCCATCGCGTGTTCAAACAACCGCAGGCACGGCTGCCCTCGCGGCGGTCCCCCGGTGACGGTGACCTCTGACCGCATGGTCCGCACGTTGCTGGCGGGGCACCTTGTATGGCGGGCGCTTGGGACTGGTGGGAACAGCAGCGGCCGTGGCTTCCCAGCAGCGGAGTTGGCACGACGTGAACGGCGACGTTACGTCGGGAGGAACTATTTAAACGCGCAAATCATCAATCAGCGGCGGCCAGGCAGGCCGGCTGGCTCTTTACGCAGATAGTCGAGGTGGCTTGGGGCTGCCTGGCAGAGGAGTCCATATATGGCGTTTTGAATGAAACAAATCGAAACTCCAACACATTGGCAGGCTTAATGCCGCTGTGTTGTGTTGGTCTACTGGTGTGTATGTTGTATATCCGTGTGTTGAACTTCTTTGGCACCGTACGTAGCCAACCGTGCAAATCGGAGGTGCGGGGCAAATGAATGAGATTTCATTCTGATGCTGCTTGCGCCTTGCGTCTGTGTATCTTTATTGAAATAATGGATATATGAAAATTGGGGCAAAATATGAATGCGGTAAAATATATAATAAATAATAGTGTCCGTTATTAGTTTACCGTAGCATAGCGCACCATTGCTTCGTTGTCGAATCTCGCGTGCGTTTCAGCATCGTTTGCTCGGCACGTGTCTCTCCGATCCCGAGATTCAGGCCGCGCACCGCGTGGGGAGTTTTTGTGTTCTAATACGGAACGCATACAACGTAGAGCAAAGCCGCTATCGGTGGCGACGGTGGCGACCGATGTCCTCCGCTTCATACAGGCCGGACCTCATCGACTTTGATGCCCTGGACCCCGCGGACCCCTACGGCAACATGCAGACGGCCTTCAACGTGGCCGAGCAGAAGCTGGGGCTGACGCAGCTGCTGGACGCAGAGGGTGGGCGCTCCCCCTGCCCCGTCGCACACCCCCTGCCCCGTCGCACACCCCCTGCCCTGTCCCACTCCCCCTGCCCTGTCCCACACCCCCTGCCCTGTCCCACTCCCCCTGCCCTGTCCCACTCCCCCTGCCCTGTCCCACACCCCCTGCCCTGTCCCACTCCCCCTGCCCTGTCCCACACCCCCTGCCCTGTCCCACTCCCCCTGCCCCGTCCCACACCCCCTGCCCTGTCCCACTCCCCCTGCCCCGTCCCACTCCCCCTGCCCTGTCCCACTCCCCTGCCCCGTCCCACACCCCCTGCCCCGTCCCACTCCCCCTGCCCCGTCCCACTCCCACTGCCCCGTCCCACTCCCCCTGCCCCGTCCCACTCCCACTGCCCCGTCCCACTCCCCCTGCCCCGTCCCACTCCCACTGCCCCGTCCCACTCCCCCTGCCCCGTCCCACTCCCCCTGCCCTGTCCCACTCCCCCTGCCCTGTCCCACTCCCCCTGCCCCGTCCCACTCCCCCTGCCCTGTCCCACACCCCCTGCCCCGTCCCACTCCCCCTGCCCTGTCCCACTCCCCCTGCCCCGTCCCACACCCCCTGCCCCGTCCCACACCCCCTGCCCTGTCCCACTCCCCCTGCCCTGTCCCACTCCCCCTGCCCTGTCCCACTCCCCCTGCCCCGTCCCACACCCCCTGCCCCGTCCCACTCCCCCTGCCCTGTCCCACTCCCCCTGCCCCGTCCCACTCCCACTGCCCCGTCCCACTCCCCCTGCCCCGTCCCACTCCCCACTGCCCCGTCCCACTCCCCTGCCCCGTCCCACTCCCCCTGCCCTGTCCCACTCCCCCTGCCCTGTCCCACTCCCCCTGCCCCGTCCCACACCCCCTGCCCCGTCCCACACCCCCTGCCCTGTCCCACTCCCCCTGCCCTGTCCCACTCCCCCTGCCCTGTCCCACTCCCCCTGCCCTGTCCCACTCCCCCTGCCCCGTCCCACACCCCCTGCCCCGTCCCACACCCCCTGCCCTGTCCCACTCCCCCTGCCCTGTCCCACTCCCCCTGCCCTGTCCCACTCCCCCTGCCCCGTCCCACACCCCCTGCCCCGTCCCACACCCCCTGCCCCGTCCCACTCCCCCTGCCCTGTCCCACTCCCCCTGCCCCGTCCCACTCCCCCTGCCCCGTCCCACACCCCCTGCCCCGTCCCACACCCCCTGCCCCGTCCCACACCCCCTGCCCCGTCCCACTCCCCCTGCCCTGTCCCACTCCCCCTGCCCTGTCCCACACCCCCTGCCCCGTCCCACTTTCCCTGCCCCGTCGCACACCCCCTGCCCCGTCCCACACCCCCTGCCCCGTCCCACACCCCCTGCCCCGTCCCACACCCCCTGCCCCGTCCCACACCCCCTGCCCCGTCCCACACCCCCTGCCCCGTCCCACACCCCCTGCCCTGTCCCACTCCCCCTGCCCTGTCCCACTCCCCCTGCCCCGTCCCACACCCCCTGCCCCGTCCCACACCCCCTGCCCCGTCCCACACCCCCTGCCCCGTCCCACTCCCCCTGCCCTGTCCCACTCCCCCTGCCCCGTCCCACTCCCCCTGCCCTGTCCCACTCCCCCTCCCCCGTCCCACACCCCCTGCCCCGTCCCACACCCCCTGCCCCGTCCCACACCCCCTGCCCTGTCCCACTCCCCCTGCCCTGTCCCACTCCCCCTGCCCTGTCCCACTCCCCCTGCCCCGTCCCACACCCCCTGCCCCGTCCCACACCCCCTGCCCCGTCCCACACCCCCTGCCCCGTCCCACACCCCCTGCCCCGTCCCACACCCCCTGCCCTGTCCCACTCCCCTGCCCTGTCCCACTCCCCCTGCCCTGTCCCACTCCCCCTGCCCTGTCCCACTCCCCCTGCCCCGTCCCACACCCCCCTGCCCCGTCCCACACCCCCTGCCCCGTCCCACACCCCCTGCCCCGTCCCACTCCCCCTGCCCTGTCCCACTCCCCCTGCCCCGTCCCACTCCCCCTGCCCTGTCCCACTCCCCCTGCCCCGTCCCACACCCCCTGCCCTGTCCCACTCCCCCTGCCCCGTCCCACTCCCCCTGCCCCGTCCCACTCCCCCTGCCCCGTCCCACTCCCCCTGCCCTGTCCCACTCCCCCTGCCCTGTCCCACTCCCCCTGCCCCGTCCCACTCCCCCTGCCCCGTCCCACTCCCCCTGCCCTGTCCCACTCCCCCTGCCCTGTCCCACTCCCCCTGCCCCGTCCCACTCCCCCTGCCCTGTCCCACTCCCCCTGCCCTGTCCCACACCCCCTGCCCCGTCCCACTCCCCCTGCCCCGTCCCACACCCCCTGCCCTGTCCCACTCCCCTGCCCCGTCCCACTCCCCCTGCCCCGTCCCACACCCCCTGCCCTGTCCCACTCCCCCTGCCCCGTCCCACTCCCCCTGCCCTGTCCCACACCCCCTGCCCTGTCCCACTCCCCCTGCCCTGTCCCACACCCCCTGCCCTGTCCCACTCCCCCTGCCCCGTCCCACTCCCCCTGCCCTGTCCCACTCCCCCTGCCCCGTCCCACAGCCCCTGCCCTGGTGGCCACCCACCCCTTCCAGTGCCGTTGACGGCCTTCATAGGTGCTGCTCGCTTAACAGCATTTGCCCCAACAGTCTGTTAAGGCTACACGGGGGGGTGGGGATGGGTCTCAGTATCTTTGTATCCCTGCTGCGTACAACCCTGTGGGAGCCGCGGTGCATTCCGTGCCGTCTCTCTGCGCGTGGCGCGCAGACATTGCGGTGGAGCACCCGGACGAGAAGTCGGTCATCACCTACGTGGTCACCTACTACCACTACTTCTCCAAGATGAAGGCGCTGGCCGTGGAGGGCAAGCGCATTGGGAAGGTGTGCCCCGCTGAGCTTTGCGCGTGACCGACGGTGCCAACACGTGCAGCCCGACTCGGCGGGCACGGCGGGCAATAGCGCGTGTCTGTAAATTCAGCTTCTCTGCAGAGGCAAAGGAGCCTGTTTATCATAATTATGTTGTTGTTGTTGCTGTTGTGACGAGTGGGTTTTTTATGAGAAGGTTTTTGTCTCTTGCCCACATAGTTTTTCTTGTGGTGTAACTACCCATAGGCCTACTCGTCATCAGACGTTTTTTTGGAAAATGCCATTCTCATCGGGCCCCACCCATGGTCGACAACTCGTATTATCCACTCCATCGCTCTGGCCTGTGTGCTACGAAGCTGGGCCCTTGCCCGAAATGTCGTCTATTTTATATCGTTTCTTTTTAAAGCTACTCGGCGTTACTGACGAATGTGGTGAACTTTATTGTTTTCATCATTAAGTCGAGCTTGGGTGCAGATCGAGCGGAAACGATAGCCGCTCTCCTGGGTTGGTTAATCACGCTCCGTGCACTGGGACTCACTCGGACTACTCCCTGATGCACCTCAAAAACATTCCTCCGTTACCAAGCACGCGCATCGGCACCCTGGTGTGCATGTGTCCGGCACGTGCACACGCTCGCTACGCTGCGGTACTGGTTCTTTTGGGGTTGCATGCAATTGCATGGGATTGCATGGGATTGCGTGGGTTTGCGTGGGATTGCGCGAGCAGCAAACCTTCGAGCGTTACATCAGGCCGATTGCAGGGGGAATATTAAGAAGGTGCTGATACGCGTTAGCAATCTGTGTGTAAACGTGGATTCATTGCAGGCGCTAGGTGACTTGTTGAATCACAGGACCACGAGGGGTGGTGGCAGTTGGAGTGATCTTCATCCAGCAGTGGATAGGTCATGGCTGATGATAATGAAAAAAAACATTCTATTGTATCCACTATTTTGGAACAAAAAAATATTTAAATCAAATGCACGTGAATGATCGTGAATGCATATACAGCAGGGCAGAATAAACACGATTACCGGGAAATTGTTTTGCACTCGATACACGGTACTATATTGTACACAACGAACCTTAACATTCACGTAGGCTTGCCATATCACGGGTGTGTTGAAGTATTCGATGTACGAGTTCTATGATGATCCAATAAACGTGTGGCACGAAGAAGACACAGCGGATGCATTGAGGAGCTGAGATAATCAACAGTTCCACTCTGCGCACCGCCGTGAGTGAGAATGCAGCATCAGGGGTCCGGCGCCATTCGCCAACCAGCGGAAACCCATCGCAGTTTTAGAAAAAAAAAACAGAAAATGAGAAATGTCCTAGGACACGACGGATTTGCTACCGCTGGTTGCAGCGAAAACACACGGTTCTAATGATAGCATAGGCCATCCAAAGTATGCATCGATATCAGGCTATTCTTATCACAATCTTTCAAGGAAATTTGCCCAGAAAATTGTAACATCACCCAATGACTGTTATCTCTTTTAAACAGACTCTTTCCTAAAGTACGATGCTAACTCCGCTTTTGTATGTTTATGACGGTCGATCGTACGTCTACGAATAACTTTATGCAGTTAAACAACTTTGAATGCTTTTCCACGTGACCGTCGTACAGTTAGATCGCCAAATATGCAAGAAAAATAACTATATGAATATTGTAATATACTTGTCAATGTTATATACACTGTGAGTGGACGTCAGCCCCACGTAGCCACAGAGCCATGCGACAGCCTCATTCTCCTCCTCCTCCTCCAGCACGTGCAGGGCAACAACCGCCCGTGGCACGCCCTGACGCAACTTCGCGGCCGGAGACGATGGTGCGCCACAGTCTCTCACTGCTCCTAATTGAGACGTTGCTCGTCTTCGGCAGGGGGAGCATCACGTTGCACGGCGGCTCCTCTCTCGCGTGACGGCGGCGTTTCTTTGTTTGAACACTTTCCAGGTGCTGGAGAGCGCCATGGAGACCGACCAGATGATCGAGAAGTACGACAGCCTGGCCTCGGATCTCCTCGACTGGATCGAGCAGACCATCGCCATCCTCAACAACCGCACCTTCGCCAACTCGCTGACGGGCGTGCAGCAGCAGCTGCAGGCGTTCAGCTCCTACCGCACCGTGGAGAAGCCGGCCAAGTACGGCAGCAGCATTGGCAGCGGCACTCGCACGGGAGCACGCGGGCGCGCTCGCACACACACGTGATACTGTAATGACCACGGCGCTATCCGATTAGCATAAATTACGCAGACCACAAATGATAGCTCAACGAAGGGGCTTGTCGTGTGGAGATTTATTAGCAGCCAAATACTCTAAACGCGTGTTGATTTTAAATGTGGTGGGGAAAAACTGGAGGGCCCGGAGAAAAATCCACACGATCACGGGGAGAACATGCAGACCCCAAATATACAGTTGTCAGGATCAAGATCGAACCCACGACCTCCTGTGAACCAGGCGAGGTAGTTAACATCTCGCCACCATGGCACCCTCACGGTCACAGACAGGGCACGGCTTCCTTCCATCATCGTGTGTCTCCCCCGTGCCGTCGTCCAGGTTTACAGAGAAGGGAAACCTGGAAGTGCTGCTGTTCACCATCCAGAGCAGGATGCGTGCCAACAACCAGAAGGTTTTCCTGCCGGGAGAGGGCAAGCTCATCTCCGAGATCAACAAGGTGAGCGAGCGTAGTGCACGTGGAGTTCTGATGGTAATATACACCGTTCGCTTTTACAGAGTCAGAATATTTATTTGCACACGAGGAATCCGGTGAGCTACCGAGCCCTTTTTCACCGATGTCAATGTAGTTTACGAGTCAAGCCAACACCTGTCTGGATTTCCCCACACAACATCAACGACAATCCATCAATCCAAGATTTGTAATGCGCGGCCGTGTTCAGCAACAAGCTGAGACGGAGGTGTGGATGGCACAGAGAATAATTGAACTCAACAGAAGAGACGAGAGGTCCGGCTTTTAGACCGATTTTAAAAGCGCCGCTCGGCACGGCTGCGCATACTTTAGTTGGCGACTGTCCCGGACCGATGAGCGCGGTTGGCTACGTACGGTTGCTACAAAAGTTCAACGTACGCTCCACACACTGGGGCTGCCGACGGACAACTCCACTCTGCTGTCCTAAGCTGAGAGCGGATCTCGCAAACGGCGGACGTGCACAGGTCATCGACGCAAACCCACACTGCGAAATATTCCTGGCACTGCCACCGATCCTACAAAAGAATTGTACAGTCTTCTACTCGTATCATCCACTCGGTGTCTCTGCCCTCTGTATGCCACGATGAAGGGCCATATCTCGAAAGTTGCCTTTCATGTAATTTTATTTTAAGGCCGCAGTGTTATTGCCGAACGTGTTGCGTTATTGTTAGCCGTGCACCACAGCCAACTCGGCATCACAAAGTAATTTGTTTAACCTTCCAAACAAACGGTTTTGAAATTTGTCCGATAATTTCCTGGGCCCCTGGCCCTTCTTCAGAGGGGATAATCTTCGCAGTGGAAGGGCCTTTGTCTGAAATGTTTGCACTCTACGTGTGCCCATCATAGGGCAGCGGCGTTAATTCAGCCCATGGTGAAGTGTTTTGATTTTGTACGCCCGCACTCACAGGCTTCCGCTAATGCAGTGCTTAAAAGGGGGTTTGTATTTACTTCGGCTCATTCCCAGCTCTGGCGGATAACATATCAGTGAAACACGTTTCAGCTTGTCAAACAAGCTTGCAAGCACAAGAGAAGCAGGAAATTGCCAGCCACAAGCTTCAGTCTCCTTCGAGCTGAACATGTTTTGTCTGCAGCTGCTCACACTTTGTCCATGGGCCGTGGCAGAAACTGTTGCCGCCTTAAGGTAGCACCGATTTATTTGCGTGACCATTTAGAGTGGATTACCTGATAAACCTACGCATTTAGAATGGTGGTTATTGCATAACGCACTGTTGTTGGCCACATGAGGCAATTTGGACCGCTTAAAACACATTCCTGCGGAGGGAGCTGGTAGGAACACTGGGTTGCTCGGTCAATGACCAGGGTCGACGGCGGCGTGGTGTATTCCACAAATATGCCCGACTGTGAGGGCGGGCACAAGCCGGCGTGAGTAGGTTAAACGTTGAGTTTTATAAGGGCACCACGGGGTGACCAGCCCCTCCCCACCCAGCCCCACCCCTCCCACCCCCCACCCAGCCCCACCCCTCCCACCCCCCACCCAGCCCCACCCTCCCCACCCAGCCCCTCCCCACCCTCCCCTCCCCTCCCCACCCAGCCCCTCCCCACCCTCCCCTCCCCACCCAGCCCCTCCCTCCCCACCCAGCCCCTCCCCACCCAGCCGCTCCCTCCCCACCGAGCCCCTCCCTGCACGACGGACGGACACAATAATCCCCTGTGTGCTGGTGTAACCAGGAGGTTCCTACCAGTATGATGCCACCTCTTGTGGTATCGGCGAGGGAGGTATCTGCTGTGGGCTCATTAACAGCGACTATGCAGCCTTCATCAGGGCATGATTCTTGGGTTCCTACACTATACACAGCTATATGTATGTTGAACTTCTTTCACACCGTACGTAGCCAACCGTGCTAATCGGAGGCGTGGGGGCAAGCACAACAAACTAAACACCTCCCTCGCCGTTAAAATAAATGTGCTAGAACAGCACGCTCAAGTCAGGCGCCCTGTGTGTGTGCTCATGTGCTCAAGTCGGGTGCCCTGTGTGTGTGTGCTCACACGCTGAAGTCTGTGTGTGTGCTCGCGCACTTGAGTTGGACACCTTGTATGTGTGCTCGCACGCTTGAGACGGGCACCTTGTATGTGTGCTCGCACGCTTGAGACAGGCACCTTATATGTGTGGTCGCACGCGTGAGATGGGCACCTTGTATGTGTGCTCACACGCTGCTTGCAGGCGTGGGAGCGGCTGGAGAAGGCGGAACACGAGCGCGAGCTGGCGCTGCGGGAGGAGCTCATCCGCCAGGAGAAGCTGGAGCAGCTGGCGCGCCGCTTCGACCGCAAGGCGGCGATGCGCGAGAGCTGGCTCACTGAAAACCAGTGTCTTGTGCTGCAGGTGAGCGGCGCGTTCACTCACAGGGGCTCCACTGTGCTCTCACGAGAGCTGGTGGGAGAGTCGGTGTCTCACTCACCGCGAGCCAGTCTGAGAGCCAGCGTGAAAGCCAGCGTCTCACTCACTGAGAGCCAGTGTCTTACTCACAGGGCTCACTGCTACACTGGGCTAAGGAGGACACTGACGCTCACAGTGCACAACAATGGAGGGCTTTCCCATTTAAACAGCAGAGAGGAGCACAAGACAAAGACAAAAAGCCCTCCTATAGCCTTAACAGACTGTAGGGGCAAATGCTTTTAACGAGCACCTATGAAGGCCGGCACGACGTACGAGAGGGGGTGGGTGGCCAGCACCACGCCCGGCCGCCTTCACCTCCCTAGTGCCGAAGTTTATTGCACATCGCACCAGCTACTCATTTGAGGCTGAGTCAACCTAGGCGATTCCCAGGACCGTTACGGTGGTTCTCTGCAACGCCACGGGCCAAGACGCATGCGTTCCGTTTGGCAAGCGCCGCTGCGGTGGCCCTGAGCATGCGTGTGCGCATACGAGCGTGCGTGTGCGCGTACGAGCGTGCGTGTGCGCGTACGAGCGTGCGTGTGCGCGTACGAGCGTGCGTGTGCGCGTACGAGCGTGCGTGTGCGCGTACGAGCGTGCGTGTGCGCGTACGAGCGTGCGTGTGCGCGTACGAGCGTGCGTGTGCGCGTACGAGCGTGCGTGTTCGCGTACGAACGTGCGTGTGCGCGTACGCATGTGCGTGCGCTCTTTATGCTGACGCTCGCGCTGACGACGGAGAGCTGCCGTTGCAGGACAACTTTGGGAGCGACCTGGCGGCCGTGGAGGCGGCGACCAAGAAGCACGAGGCGATCGAGACCGACATGGCTGCCTACGAGGAGCGCGTGCACGCCGTGCTGCACGTGGCCCAGGTAGCCACAGGCTCCCACACGACCTGCTAGGCCGCCCGGCGGCGATCCGATTGTTTAAGCGCTGCAAAGCTTTACAGCATTCTCATAGGCACATGCAAGTCACAGGATTTGTTTTTTTTTTATTTTTGCTTCTGGCCTGTTTAAAGTAGTAATGATAATAATCGTAATTTCTATTTCATGAAGTGCCTTTCGTATGTATGTTGAAGTTCTTTCGCACCGTACATAGCCAACCGTGCCAATATCTCAAGGCGCTGCACATGTCTCGCTTTTAAACTACACTAAAAACGAATGATGACATCCAATCTAAATACAGTAAAAGCTGATGATGATGACAATAATGACACCTCCACTCACACTTTCGATTGAATGCAGACAATTATATGATGAAAGACAAAAGTGATAATTACACTCAGTACAGGTAACGTCCAATCAGAGCAAAGGAAAAGTCAACGAATATGAGTGGGTGTTTCAGGCTTGGCTTTATAGGTGCTGACAGTCACAATTTCTGACGTAGGGGGGCAGGATAGCAGCGTCCCTCCACGGGCTTCGCCGCACCGCAGCAGGCACGCTCGCCGCTTGGAGGCTGGCACAGAGACAAGTGGCCCCGAGTCCACGAAGTGTGAATTGCGACGGGGAGTGAAGCGGAATGGCCCATAGTGGGTAGACGGTACAGATAGACATATAATACACAATGTGAGAAGATAGGTGTATTGCCTACCAGGTAAAAATTTGCAATGAGATTCACCGCTCTGATTCATTGGATGCCTGAAATATTGGAGAAAATAGAAGGGAAAAGGGAACATTTACAAATGATAAAATCACAACTCTCAGCTTGCATGAATCACTAACCAGCGAAACGATAGACTTCCGACACTTGTGTGTATTGCTTCGTAACGAAGGCTATTGTGATCTTCAACATCTCTCAGGTCCTTTCCACGTGCCCACATCTCCTGCCCAGCTGATCCATCTCTTCCCTCTCTTCTCTGACATTTACTCCCACGCAATCGTCACGGTTACGTCAGCTGACCTGCGTGTGACGTGTTCCGCTTGTTCCTTCTATCTGCCTGAACAGACTTCCCGCAGCTCCTGCTTTAAGCCGCTCTCCCCAGCGCCTCTTCATTCCTCTTCCTCCTGTCGCACCAGCTCAGCCTATCAGTGCTCCTGTAGCACCACGTCTCAAACGCGTTTGTGAATCCAACTCTGGCCTTGCGGGTTGAGGCAGCGCGTTTGTGAACGTATCTCCTCCTAACCTCACCACCGCACGCACAGCCGATAGTGCATGGCAAAAGCCTGAGAGGACATGTGCTCAGCCCGGAAGGCGGCCACACTTGGATGGTTGTGAGAACCTGGGTGCTAACAACAACAATAATAATAAATTGTTGAGATTTATAAGACTTCCTTCAACAATGGATCTCTTAGCGCCGTGTATGTAAAGGAGGAAGAAATGAGTGATAAGTAACCTGGGGAGAGAAAGACTAAAGAGACAGAGAGAGAGACAGAGCAGGCTGGGTTAAACAGCTGGTGGAGCCTTCAGCTGGAACTTGAAGGTTTCCAACGACTACGAATTTATGACCTCCAGAGGTAGGGAATCCCAGAGCCTTGGTGCTGTACAGACAACTATTTATTTCACTATTTAACAATTTGTATTTATTTTAGCAGGTAAGGCCCACTGAGCTTTACAGCTCTTTTTCAGAAGCCACCTGGCTACAAATGATAGCTCAACAAAGCAGCTTATCACGCAGACATTTATAGCAGCGAAATACTTTAAACGCATGTCGATTCTAAATATGGACGGAAAAACCAGAGGACCCGGAGAAAAATCCACGCCACCACGGGGAGAGAGACACGGAAACTCCAAATATACGGCACGCATCAGGGTCGGGATAAAACCCACGTCCTCCTCTCGCCGCCCGTGGCGCCCCCAACAACCCGGCGGTCTCCCCAGCGGCGAGGCCTGGCGAGCGGCACGTTGAAGCGCGACAGTCGGCGCTGCTGCGCACGAGTGACCCGCGGCTTGGGGGTGATGGGGCGGCATCCGTGCGGCGTTTTCTTTGCGCAGGAGCTGCAGGCCGAGAACTATCACGACGTGGCGCGCGTGGCGGCCCGTCGGGACAACGTCCTGCGGCTGTGGCGCTACCTGCAGGAGCTGCTGTGCGGGCGGCGTGCCCGCCTCGAGGCCAACCTGGCCCTGCAGAGAACGCTGCACGAGATGCTGCACCTGCTGCACAGCATGGAGGAGCTCAAGGTGAGGTCCCCGCGACCCGACAGTTCCAGCATTTCGGATTCTCGGCGCGCCTCTGGCCGTGCTCCACAGATGCTCCGCAGCTCAGGCCGGTTTTACCATTGGAATGTGTGGGCGAGCGAGTGCGACCATGATCAGGATGTGAAATGATCAATCATGAGTTCCAAAAAGACTAATGCTTTCAAAAAAATATATATATGTAAACGTTCAAGCAATTGCTTCATTGAGATGAAAAATAAGAATAGGTTTTACCCTTTCTGGCAATAAAACAATAGGTGTTAAGATGTTCAAACATTAAATAGATACATTTTGCAAGGCATCAAGTCTGAATTAACCACACATACGTGTGGAAAACATGCAAACAAACTGTAATAATAAATGCAGAGACAGCCTTCTTTATGGGCTAGTCCCACCAATGTGAGGCCAGAGAACGCCGAAAGGCAAAGAGTTCAAAGACGATGCGAGTATCAGAGACACCGAGTATAGCTTGGGTCTCGCAGCTATATCACGGGATACCTTCTTAGCAGTGTCCAAAATAATGAAAATTAATAATATATTTGACTCTTTCTGGCAATAACACAGATGTTCTAAACCAAATAGAAACCTTTTGCCAGGCATCGAGTCTGCACTCACCACACACAGTACTTTTTGCATGTTTTGCAACAAACGTGCTCTGATAGTGTACGCTTTGTCTTTCAAACTGATTGGCCTACACCAGAGAGACATTGTATTCGTCAAGCACGCACACGCGCCGCCTTGCTTTGTGCTGGGAAGGGGCTGACGCGCGTGGTGGCGCGGCGCAGGGGCGCCTGCTGTCGCAGGACTTTGGGAAGCACCTGCTGGGCGTGGACGACCTCCTGCAGAAGCACGCGCTGCTGGAGGCCGACGCGGCCGTCCTGGCCACGCGGGTCCACAACGTCACGGCCGCCGCTCGCAAGTTTGCCGAGAACAGCGACGGTGAGGACCGCGCGCCCCGTCCCGCCCTCCGCGTTGCAATCGCTCTCCGCCATGACGACCTTTGTAAGGTCACGCTCATCGCACGCTAAGTGCTTGCCACGATGCCTCGCTGATCTCGTCAAGGAGCATAAAGCATCACGCGGACTCCGGTCATCCTCGCAGCAGCGGTGGCTTTTGGCTCACCGTCGAACAAAGACGGTCACCGCATCGCTCGCTTTCAGATGCGCTTTTGCGTCCATCTGGAACGCGCTCTTCCTTTCCGATATTAGGAAGCCACTGGAGCTATACACCTTTAAATTATCTAGATTGAAAACTAATTTCTTTATAACTGCTTTGTGTGTTTAGTTTGTTTTCCTTCCCCCCGCACCTCCGATAAAGCACGGCTGGTTACGTACGGTGCGAAAGAAATTAAACTTACATACGTAATAGACTTTTTTTTTCACGCAAGCATGACAAACGTATGAATCCCCCAACCACTGTTTTACGTTGTGAATCTCCCGCGTGCGCTTGCCGTGCAGGTTACCAGGCGTGCGACCCGCAGGTGGTGAGCGCGCGGGTGGCCATGTTGGAGGGCTGCCTGGACGAGCTGCTGCGGCTGGCGGCCGAGCGGCGCGCCGGCCTGCTCGAGTCGCGCCGCCTCTGGAAGCTCGTCGGCGAAATCTCCGAGGAGGAGGCGTGGATCCGGGAGAAGGAGCGCATCTTGTCGTCGGACGACTTTGGCCGCGACCTCACCAGCATCGTCCGCCTGCTGAGCAAGCACCGCGCCCTCGAGGACGAGCTGCAGCACCGCGAGCAGCGCGTGCGGCAGGCCGTCGCCGACGGCCAGGGCATGGTCGAGCAGAGGCACTTCGCCGCGGACAAGATCGCCGAGAGAGCCGGCAACCTCCTGTCGCTCTGGTCCCAGCTGGGGCGGGCGGCCGCCCTACGCAAGCTGCGCCTGGAGCAGGCCGCGAGCCTCTTCCAGTTCCTGGCCGACGCGGACGACGCGGACGCGTGGACCATGGATCACTTCCGCCTCGTCTCCAGCAGCGACATCGGCCACGACGAGTTCTCCACGCAGGCCCTGGCCAAGAAGCACCGGGACATCGTCGAGGAGATCGGCAACTACGCGTCCGCGATCCAGGGCCTGCAGGAACAGGCCGACGCTCTGCCCGACGAGGTGGCCCGCTGCGGCGGGGTGAGCGAAAGGATGAGCAATACCAAGCAGCAGTATGGCGACCTGCTGCAGCTCGCTGCCCAGCGCAAGCAGCAGCTGGACGACGCCCTCGCGCTGTTCAAGCTCTTCAGCGAGGCGGACGCGTGCGAGCTGTGGATCGACGAAAAGCAGAAGTGGCTCGACCAGCTGGAGATACCGGACAAGCTGGAGGACCTCGAGGTCGTTCAGCACAGGTAGAGTGCACTGCTGCCCATGTGGGCCTCGCCTACGGTTGGCTACGTACGGGGCAACATAAGGTCGACATTTCTGCATACATATGGTCATGCTCTTTCCCTTCGGCAGGTTTGAGCCAAATGTATCACAGTCACCAGTCGTGGAGACGTCACGATGTGCGTGGGTACACCGCCGACACTTTTCAGAATGTATAAACCAAAAGAGGCGCCACACTGGTGAGATGTTAACTTCTTCGCCTGGTGTACAGGAGGTCGTTGGTGCGATCCCAAGCCTGACTACTGCTGTATATTTGGAGATTGCGTCTCTCTCTCTCTCCCCGTGGTCGAGTGGATTTCTCTCCGAGTCCTCCGCTTTTTCCCTCCACACTTAGAATCAACATTTGGCTGCTATAAGTGTCCACGTGATAAGCCACTTCATTGAGCAATCATTTGTGTGGCCAGGTCACTTCTAAAAAGATCTACATAGCCCAGTGGGGCCTTACCTGGTTAAATAAAAAAATAGTTGTGATAGTTTTAAAGCCACGCGAGTGAACTTGGGCTGCCGGAGGATCGGTCGGTACCGCTACGTTCCCGTCTCGACCACCCTCGTCCGTCACTGCGTTACCGCTGTTCATGGTCATCTTTGATCGCTTCACCCTGCTGCGGTACCGATATTAAACATCCAATAGTTCACGGCCTTTATTAATCCGCTACTGGGTGAAGGCCTTCTTCCCGTGTCTTTCAGTCATGGGGATTGTTTGACCATACTTTACCGTTATGATCGGTGCAGGGTGGCAAACGTTGGCCAGGACCGGTTTAGATATCACCGATGTCCGCTGTTCATGGGAATAAACTCAGTTCGTCAAGCTCATAGGGCAGTGTACGATGTATGTACGTTGAACTTTTTTCCCTTGACTGTGCTACCGATCCACCGTCAATCTTAATCTTTAATCCGTGGACGTTTTGGCCCGTCGTGTGCATGTGTCGGCAAAGTATGGGTCACTCTCCTTTCTGTTTTCCACAGATTTGAGGGCCTTGAGCCTGAGATGAGTGCCCAGGATTCTCGGATCGGGGTGGTGAACGGAGTGGCCGAGCATCTGATCAGGGACGGACATCCGAGCGAGACGGCGATCCACGCTAAGAGAGACAACCTCAACAGCAGGTGGACGGCCGCCTCCCTCCCCCCCCCTCCCAAGAGGCATTGTGTCTACAGCGCCACGGTAGCTAGGAGATGTTCACGACCTTGCCTGTTATACAAGAGGTCGTGGGTTCGATTCCGATCCTGACCGCCTGCTGTATATTTGGAGTTTGCGTCTCTCTCTCTCTTTGCCCGTGGTCGCGTGGATTTTTTCTCCGGGTCCTCCGGTTTTTCCCTCCACGTTTAGAATAAACGTGCATTTTGAGTATTTGGTTGCTATCAATTTCCACGTGATAAGCCACTTCGTTGAGCTGTCATTTGCGATAGCCAGGTCACTTCTGAAAAAGAGCTGGATAGTTCAGTGGGCCTTTCTTGGCAAAATAAAAATGTTTCTGTAATTTTCCACATTTCTGTTCACCGGCCACGTGGTGTAGCAGCAGTAAATTGTTTATGAATACATTCATGCAGTTGCAAAGGAGTTATTTGGGAACTTTTTGCGAGTATCCAAAATTATGAAAAAAACAGAATAGGTTTTACCCTTTCTGCCAATAAAACATCATTTTGCATCCTGGCAAAAAGGTATCCCATAGATGTGACTGCTCGCCCCGAGCTCTCCATGTCTCTGATACTTGCATTGTCTTGGTGCTGTTCGCCTTGTGGCGTTCTCTGGTCTGACACTTGTACAGAGACGAGGCCATGAAGAAGGCTGTCTCTGGTGTAGGCCAATCAGTTTCAAACACAATGCGTACATTATCATAGCATGTTTGTTGGCATGTTTTGCCACAAATATGCATGGTCAGTGCAGACTTGATGCCTTGCAAATAGGTTATCTATTTGGTGTTTGAACATCTTAACACAACTGCAGTTTTATTGCCAGAAAGGGTAAAACTGATTCTTATTTTTTATCGATTATATGTCCTGTTCGCAAAAGCACATGCGTACTTTTTCAAGTTCATGCCACTGACCGTTTACACTCTAAACTTAAGCCACTGCCCAAGTGGCCGCGTGGCAATCGGGAGGTTTGTGATTTCACATCTTGGTTGGGAGATGACATCATTCGTCCGGGGGATCGATACCCGTGAGTATCGCTTTTTTGCAGGACATCAACCATAGTGGGTGTTGTCCTACTTTTATGCTCACCCCCTTTGCCATTGAAATGTGGACTTTCCGGCACTGACTGCACGGCTGTAAACAACGGATGAGCACAAATCCTTCAGTACTCGTTTGAACGGAAAATCACTTCGACCTTTGACTCTTTACGTCCAAGTGTCAACTGCGACCGCGTAAAACCCCTTTTGTCCCGCAGGTGGGATGTCTTCCGAAAGCACGTGGCCCAGAAGAAGGAGGCCCTCCTGTCGGCCCTGAGCATACAGAACTACCACCTGGAGTGCCGAGAAACCAACTCGTGGATCCAAGACAAGATCAAGCTGGTCGCGTCGACGCAGGACCTCGGCAACGACCTGGCGGGAGTGATGGCGTTGCAGCGGAAGCTGTTCGGCATCGAACGCGACCTGGCCGCCATCGGGGGCAAGCTGCAGGAGCTGCGCGGGGAAGCCGGGGCGCTCGCCTCGCGGCACCCCGAGCAGGCGCCGGGCATCCTCGGCCAGCTGGAGGCGGTGGACGGGGTGTGGGGCGACCTCGCGGGGACGCTGCAGCGTCGCGAAGAGTCGCTCGGCGAAGCTCGCAAGCTGCAGAACTTCCTGCGCGACGTCGACTCCTTCCAGGGCTGGCTGTCCGGCGCCCAGATGGCCGTGGCCTCGGAGGAGCTGCCCAGCAGCCTGCCCGCCGCCGAGACCCTGCTGGTGCAGCACGGGGCCATTAAAACCGACATCGACAACCACCAGGACGACTACCAGAAGATCCGCGGCGTCGGCGATGACGTGACCCGAGGGGAAACGGACGCGCAGCACGTGTTCCTCCAGCAGCGGCTGCAGGCTCTGGACGGCGGGTGGAAGGATTTGCACCGCATGTGGGACAATCGGCGCGACGTCCTCGCCCAGGCGCACGGCTACCAAACCTTCCTGCGAGACGCCAGCCAGGCCGACAGCTTCCTCACCAACCAGGTGCGTGGCGCCGCTGCTGGTGCTGCTGCTGGTGCTGCTGCTGCTGGTGATGCTGTGCTGCTGGTGCTAATGCTGGTGCTGCTGCTCCTGGTGCTGCTGCTGTGCTGCTGGTGCTGCTGCTGTGCTGCTGGTGCTGGTGGTGCTGCTGCTCCTTGTGCTACTGCTGCTCCTGGTGCTGCTGCTGCTGTGCTGCTGATGGTGCTGCTGGTGCTGTTACTGATGCTGCTACTGCTGATGGTGCTGGTGCTGCTGCTGGTGCTGCTGGTGCTGCTGTGCTGCTGGTGCTGCTGCTGCTGTCGCGCGGACTCTGACCGTTGTTGTCGCACCGACGTTTGTCGCAAACTGATATATGAGCCTCCTAACCGTCACACTTGTTCATCTTGACTTGACTATCGCTTGTGACAGCTCCATGACGACCGTCCACGCAGCTCACGGCTGAGCGAGCAGCTCGCAATCGCAAGGTTGCGAGTTCATTTTCCATCTTCCCTCCAGGGTTTATGACGTGACTACCTTTGTGTGGGAAAGTCAACAGTGGTTGTCCGATGGAAAGACACACCCCTGCCATAGGAATAGGGAATTTTCCGCCACCGCGCCAATGCTAATTTAGGCAAGTAAATCGCATTGACTTTGGTCATTGCGTTGTCATGTTTCTGTCTTTATGTCTGTCTATCTGTTTGCCTTCCGTTCATTGTTCAAACCGCCCATTGGTACTAAATTCTCGGTCGACTTCTCCTGTCGGTCCATCTCATTCGACTCCCTTAGGTTACGTCTGCACAGTACGTCAGGCACTATGTTTATACACCGAAGCGATGCTGATCTATAGCTACAGGGGTTTGCTGGCCCTGAATTGTTCCTCGTCCAGTCTTGGTGCTATCCCATGGAACATTGAATGTCCTTCTTGTCATAAAATGCATCCTTGGAACAATTAATTGGTGTTGTGTATGCACCACTCTGACTACACACAGCCCGTGATGATGGTGTGTGTGTGTGCTCCCAGGAGTACGTGTTGTTACTATGTGTCACTGTGACTACAGGTGTCACCGTGAAGATGGTGTGTGTGTGTGTTACTGTGTGTCTCTGTGATAATGACGGTGTGTGTGTGTTACTGTGTGTCTCTGTGATGATGATGGTGTGTGTGTGTTACTGTGTGTCTCTGTGATGATGACGGTGTGTGTGTGTGTGTGTTACTGTGTGTCTCTGTGATGATGACGGTGTGTGTGTGTGTTACTGTGTGTCACTGTGATGATGACGGTGTGTGTGTGTTACTGTATGTCTCTGTGATGATGACGGTGTGTGTGTGTTACTGTGTGTCTCTGTGATGATGACGGTGTGTGTGTGTGTTACTGTGTGTCTCTGTGATGATGACTGTGTGTGTGTGTTACTGTGTGTCTCTGTGATGATGATGGTGTGTGTGTGTGTTAGTGTGTGTCTCTGTGATGATGACGGTGTGTGTGTGTTACTGTGTGTATCTGTGATGATGGTGGTCGTGGGTTGCTGAGGAGATGGAGTCTGCCTCAGTGGCCCGCGATCACAAATCACTATTTAACTCCATCAAGGAAGTAACCTGCAGCGCCACACCTATTACCATCATTAGAGGAAAAAATGGTGATCCAATTTCCGACCCCCAGGAACAGGTTTGCAGATTTGCTGAGCATTTTTGTGAGGTCCTGGGGGAGGGGAAATCCCTCAGCCAGGAAAACATCATGGCACAAAGTGGGGATAACCCTGCTGGGGCTGCGGTGCCTCAAATATTGGAAGAAGTCACCCCCTGTGAGTGGCTGGCTGAGGTGCCATCTGTTGAGGAAGTACTGAAGGCGATCCGGAGTCTGAGACCAGGAAAGGCACCGGGCAGAGATGATCTCCCAAGCGAAATGCTCAGGAAGGGTGGCGTTTGTGCACATACTGCCCTATATGACATCATAACAACAGTCTGGACCACTGGACGGGTTCCGCAGGATTGGAAGGATGCCCTGGTGGTCCCCCTCTTTAAGAAGGGGGCCCGCACCGACTGTAACAACTACAGGGGCATCTCACTCCTCAGTGTGCTGGGAAAGGTCCTGGCAAGGATTATTCAACATCGCCTTGCTAGGCACGCTGAGGTGAGGCTTGCAGAGCCCCAATGCGGTTTCAGGAAAGGACGGTCCTGCACAGATTCCATATTTTCTGTCCGTCTGCTACAGCAGAGGTGTAGGGAATTCCAACAAGACCTACATCTCTGCGTTATTGGCCTGGTCAAGGCCTATGATACCATCAGTAGGCCTGGGCTCTGGGTTGTTCTTCGTGCTTTCGGAGTCCCTGACCCTCTGCTCACGATCATTAAGGATCTTCATGATGGTGAGCAGGCCCGGGTAAAACTACATGGCCGGGAGTCAAAGCCTTTCCCTGTACACCTTGGGGTGCGACAGGGATGTCCTCTGGCTCCCACATTATTTAACATCTATTTTGACCACGTAGTTTGTGAAGCCCTCAATAGCTGTACCGGGGGAATTTACATTTGGTACAGATATAATGGGAGGCTGATCGATGCCCGGGTGCGATCAAGGGATGGCTCCCTATTGGTCAACCACGTTATGTATGCCGATGATTTGGTAATAGCTGCTCATTCAGAGGAGGAGTTGGAGACGCTGCTGCTGAGACTGGAGCGTGCCACTAAGAGGTGGGGCCTTACTATCAGCCCCACCAAAACTAAGCACCTGCCTGGGTATTTTGTACCATCGGACACTCCACCCCCACAACTCCCAATCGGTGATGGGGCAGTAGTGGAGAGAGTGGAGAGTTTCCCATACCTGGGCAGTGTGCTTATGACCGGCTCCAGTTTAACAGCAGAGGTCTCACTCCGAATCAGTCGAGCGGCAATATCTTTTCATCGGTTGCGTAACGCTGTGTGGAAGCTACCTGGTCTGTCGCTCCGCACGAAGCTTCAGGTCTTCTCGGCCACAGTTATTCCCTCCCTTCTCTACGCTTGCGAAACGTGGATCCCCCTAATAGAGCATCTTCGCCGGTTGGAAACATTTAGGCTGGCCTGCCTACGATCCATCCAGGGTTTAACCAGGCTGGATTGTGTGAGGAGCTCACAAATCCTTGAAATATCTGGGCAAAGTCCCATCGGTGAGCTCCTCCGGCAGGCAAGGCTGCGTTGGCTGGGTCATGTAGCCCGCATGCCCAGCCACCGCATGCCTAAACAGCTTTTGTTCGGCCGGATCGAGGGGGCTAAATGGGCACGGCACGGGCTAGAGAAGAGATGGAGTGATGTGGTACAGGAGGACGTGGAGCTGAGTGGATTTGCCAATGACTGGTATCAGCGGTGTCAAGATCAGCCTCTGTGGAGGAGGCTCATGAAGGACGCTACTGGGCAGTTGGAGGCAGTCGCCCTCCAACAACAACGGAGGGCGGAGGAGCGACGCTCACAACAACTAGCGGAGCGCCGGGTGGCTAAAGCACAGCAAGTTGGTACAGTGGGGGGCACAGGTGGTGCATCAGCCACTCATCTCGGTCATCTCAGTCAGTCGACCCGTGGCACCTGGGTCTGCCCCGTGACCTCCTGCCAGCGGGCGTTTGACACTTCACGTGGCCTCAAGGTGCACATGGCCTGGCACAAGCGTCGTGGTGACGTCACCGCCACTTAGTGGTGAATGGCGGTTGTTGTCTCTGTGATGATGACGGTGTGTGTGTGTTACTGTGTGTCTCTGTGATGATGACTGTGTGTGTCTGTGCTCCCAGGAGTACGTGTTGTCTCACACGGAGAAGCCGGCTTCCCTGGAAGGCGCCGAGGCGGCGATCCGCAAGCACGAGGACTTCCTCTCGTCGATGGAGGCCAACCGCGACCGGATAAACGGTGTCGTCGCATCCGGAAAAAATCTGGTCATGGCAGGAAATGCACACACGGACAAGATCCAGGAGCGCGTGGACAACATCACGGACCGGTACGCTCCACCTGTGCCGGAATCAGAATCGTGGATCTTTATTCATCCTGGAGGAGGAGGAGGAGTAGCTTTGGGGGAGGCTATGAATCGCTTTTTCACAGATGTCGAGTCAGGGGCCCTAGAGGGGAGGCAATGCCCTGCCCAAACTGGGCGCGATAATCTTTTTTTATTATCAGTAGCTTACGATGAAGATTTTTTTAAATCATTAATGCACCCATGATTCCTAATGTGAGGGACAAAGCGAAGCCCTGCCCCCCCCCTCCCTCCCACAGATAGAAGTCAAACTCCGCCTGTAAGAGTAAGATAGAGAAAAGTTAAGCAAGTCACTAAAATATGAATAAACATTAATACAGCATGCAAGTACAAATTTCACTCGCACATAAATTCCAAGTGAAAGCTTGGGCACGGCATAAAAATAAAAATCCAAGACCATCTTCATGGTTCTTTCGGTAAAGTCACGTAGAAGGGAAATTATAACATAATAATACAAATAAACATAATAAAATACAATTCTCACGACGTTTCAGCCACAACGCAAGCAGCCGTCCTCAGGTGAAGAACAGGGCTGTCAGAAAGACAGCGTCCCAGAACCAAGAAGATGAATCCCTGCAGTCACGAAAGCTTTAAATCGAAATCCAAGACCATTTGTCCATAAATTTGTCGCTTAAAAACAAGCAAAGAAAACCATTAAATATTACAGCAACTACGATAATACCACGACAAGGTAGCTACCTATTATCCCGGAGCGGTACAGAGAGCACGAAGCTCGTGGGTCTGAGTTAAACTTTGTCGACCTGTCGCTCTACCAGCCCACGCCACACGGGGAAGCGAAACGGAGCGGTGACTCTCACACCCCCCTTGTCGTTGCTTGCAGGCACGCGAAGAACCAGGACACTGCCAGGGAACTTCAGTTCCTCCTCAAGGACAACAGGGACCTGCAGAAGTTCTTGCAAGACTGCCAGGAGGTGACGAGTCACAATCAATTCACGCTTAACGTTGGTCATAGTCCTGTAGGTTTCATTAAAACAAAATACAGAGGGATTCCTCATGTGTGGCCTTTCCAGTCGCTCCACAACTTAATCAGAGAAGTAGTTGCTGTCACTATGTGTCACTCTGACTACACGTGGTGGGTGATGACGGTGTGTGTGCTCCAGGAGTACGTGCTGTCACTATGTGTCACTGTGACTACACGTGATCCGTGATGATTACCAACTCGCGCGTCAAGCAGAATGTAACGTTGGTCATCGTTCTGTAGGTTTCAGTAAAAAAAACTACACAGGAATTGCTCCAGCCGCTCACAACTTAATCAGAAGTAAATACATACGTTAAAAGAGCCTGAATAAACACATTGTGTGGCATCTCACATAGTGTAGTTTCATTTCAAGTAGGTGGTGGGTGCGGAGGTTCTTCAGTGCTATGCTTAGAAGATGAAACGTTGATGCTGTGATCACGCGTACATGATGTGCGCATGCACATTGAACTTCTTTCGCACCGTGCGTAGCCAACCGTGCTGATCGGAGGTGCGGAACGATTGTGGAGGCAAACAGTCGGTTCAATCCCAGCAGCCGTCCCGCTTGATTCTGCGCGTTAATCCGAACGTAAAATACCGCGGCACGAGTCCCAGGGCCCGTGACGCTGTTCGACAACGAGCAGGGCCACGGCGCTCCGGCATCGCAGTCCGAGTTTGCGAAACGAGTAAAGATCGCTCACAAACTGGCCCCGTTGGGCGAAGCCCCAGCAGCTGGCGCCTCGGCGAGAGCCGCGCGATGTGAGAATGGCGCGGGCAACCCTGGCATCTCTGACGCCGTGCGCCGCGACGCGACTGTGACGTGTGCGGAGCAGCTGAGGCTGTGGATCAGCGAGAAGATGGTGACCGCGAGCGACGCGTCGCCCTGCGGCGAGGCGCGAGGCCTGCACAGCAAGTGGCTCAAGCACCAGGCCTTCATGGCGGAGCTCGCTTCCAACCAGGAGTGGCTGCACAACGTCAAAGAGGTGTGTGTGTGTGTGCGAGCGCGCCGGCAATGTCTGGGCGGCTTGCGCGGCTCACGGAGGACGAAGGAGACTTGGCTCTCGTTTCGCTCACGCTCGCACGCTCCGACGCTCGCGCGCTCCGACGCTCGCGCGCTCCGACGCTCGCACGCGCGTGCGTGGTCCTTTATGAGGCAGCAGCGTCGCTCGCTGCTGCTTCTCGCTCTGTCTGTCTCTGCCTCCACTGCACGCCTGCGTCGTTACTTACTTCGTTTAATTGGTCTCACCAGTCTGGTGTTTTCATGAGTCTTTGTTTAGTCACTTGGAGTGAATCACTCTTTTGGAGGATTAAAAAAACACTAATCTACATTGAGTGCCTTTATGTCAGTGTAGGTGCTCGAGTCTAATTACAAATACGAAGGGGACATCGCAGCGGTACACTCCGCTGCTCCTGATGCGGTTTTTATCTGGGCTTGACCACCTGGATGTGAAGTGGTAGTTGTTCCTCTGCTTCTACATCAGCAGCCGTATGACAGAAGAAGAAGAAGACTGAGTGTGTTTGAACGATATCAAATAAGCTCAGCGACATCCATTATTCCTATTCACACATTAAATTACTCGTTTTTGGACATATAATAACAATAATAAGACAAATTAAGCATTTTGACAATTTACTTGAAGATAAATTACTATTTGACCATACTTCACCACGCTGGTCAGTGCGAGTTGATGAAGGGAGGCCCAGGCGTTGTTCAAATATCACTCGAAGCCATGGCCGGGAATCGATCTCAGGTCATCGGATTTGTAGTGCAGTGCACTAACCACTGTGCCACTCTTCCCTCTTCTGGTATATGAATGCAGGGAATTGACCCTGTGCTTTGTTCATTATCTCTTGGAGTTGTACCAGTCTTTGTTATGGGCATGAGTAATGCATCATCATATGTGCTTTGGACGGATCCGGCCGGGGTTCCCACTTGGTAGCAACTCCCCTAATCCATCTGTGTGGCGCTTTGAGTGGTATTCCTCTTTGCAATGCGGTGGGTTATATTTTTCGGTCGGTAATGGATTTGCCACCCACATGCCGAATAGAAATGCAGGGTCTTGAGACACAGTGAGGCTTTCCTGCATACACGAAGAGCTTTACTTGACTTAAAGCTTTTGTGACTGCAGGAATTCATATTGGGTCTTTCGGTAAAGTAAAGTCACGTAGATAGGTTCAAAGAAAATAACAAAAAATAACAAAACTAGGACGTTTCGATCGCTTGTGTTGCGGTCAGGAAGACGACCACTTGTGTTGCGATCGAAATGTCGTAGTTTTTTGTTATTTTTTGTTATTTTATTTGAGCCTATCTACGTGACTTTACCGAAAGACCCAAGAATATGAATAGCTTTCCTATTATGATGTTTTATTTGCTCATCAAGCGAAAGCTGACACTTGGTTAAGCCAAGTCTCTTTTGTCGATTTGTGCAAAAAGCTTCTGTTAAAACATGCACGTGCAAAGCCCACCTTTCAGATACGAGGTGTAATTGAATGTCACTGATTCAGTTGTAGTAGGGTGGAGTTAGAGGCCTACATTGGATAAAAGGCCTTTTTTTGTCCTGGTGCTGACAGAAGTGGCGTCATCAGCCACAGTCAGGTTGAGGTGCACATGGGAGCCCCACTCTATAGAGGCCCTGCTGCTGCTGCTACTGTTCGTGTCTGCAGCTCAACAGACAAACAACGTGCGAGCACCAGGACAAAAAGGCCTTTTTGCCCACATAGGCCTCTTAACCCAGCCTACTATATGAGTATAGCAATGATGTGCTGCTTGCTGCAACTCTCTACCCTAACCCTTGAGATGTCCTCGAGCACGCGCGTACTAATGCTCTTCACAATCTCCTCTTGTACCTCCTGACTGCTTTCCTACGGCAGAAGTAACATCCACTCAGTCTTTTCTCTGCCCACGACACTCTGTCGTCTCTGCACGTAAGTCTCTTGTTTTCCTTGCAATCACAGACAGGTGCACAATCTGTGAGTGTGATCTCGATCCCAAAAGTACGCGTACGATTAACACGTGAACGACGCTGACATACCTGTGAACCCCTTATCAGTGCCTACCTTATTATTACAGACTAATTCAGACCTTATTGGTCACCCCGTGCCCTTATACATCTCAATGTTCATCCTACAAAGTCCCATCACAAGGGAGAAACACAAACAAATAGACAAAAAAAATGTTTGTCCCTATTGAAATGGCTGTATGTCGTATGGACCTGAAAACTCAATTTTCCTGTACAAGAATACGGGTAAACCGTATGGGTTGACAGGAATGCACTTATGTAGTCTGAGCATTTTAAGTTATCTCTGGGGACGTGTGTAGTTGGAGTAGATTGTGAATGCTTTACACGATTGTAAATGAGTTAGAGGATATGTCCTGTTCTCAAAAGCACGTGATTACTTTTTAAAGTTTAAGCCAATTTCCATTTACACTTTAAACTTAAGCCACTGACCTAGTGGCCGGGTGGCTCGGCCGTAGAGCGAGCGGCTCGCAATTGCGAGGTTGCGATTTCAAATCCTTGTTTGTGGTTGCCTCAGCCCATCATCCCTCCGGAGTCGACAAAATTACTACCACTTTGTGGCTAAGTTAACAGTGGTTGTCCTATGGATAGTAGATTCACCCTCGCTAAAGGAATGTGGAGTTCCAAACATTGGATACTGGCTGTGAACAGGAGAGTGGTCCCAATGCCTCAATGGTCATTTGTGGCGCCACGGTAACAAGATGTTAACTACCTCACCTAGTATGCAGGAGGTCGTGCGTTCAATCCCGACCCTGACGCCTGCTGTATATTTGGAGTTTGCATGTTCTCCCCGTGGTCGTGTGGATTTTTATCCAGGTCTTCTGGTTTTTCTATTCACATTTAAAAACATGCGTTTCGAGTATTTGGCTGCTATAAATTTCCACGTGATAAGTCACTTGGTTGAGCTATCATTTGTGACCAGGTCGCTTCTGAAAAAAGGGCGACATAGCTTAGTGGGCCTTACCTGGTAAAATAAAAATTGTTACATTTTATAGTTTTGTTAAATTTGAGCAGGAAATCGATTTGATTTTTTACATACAAAATACCCAGGGCCTTGTTACTTTGTGGAGGAATGGAGCTTCTGCCTAGTCCCAGCGGCGTGCATATCACGATGCCGGAGGCTGCAGCTGCTATAATAAGATCGAGCGCCGGCGTGCATCGATGGGCACCGCCGGTGGACGCGACAACATCGGAAGTTTAAATTACAAAGCCGACCTAAATCGGCAAAGCCTGCTCAAGCTAGCCCGGCTCGCCTGCTCACGCGTCAATGTTACCCCCGCTGCGGCAGGCCGGCGCCGTGCTGGTGCAGCAGCAGCCCGGCGCGGCCCCCCTGGTGCAGGAGAAGCTGGGAGAGCTGCAGGCGCTATGGCGCCAGCTCGAGAGCTGCACGCAGCACAAGGCCGAGGAGCTGTTCGACGCGAACCGCACGGAGCTGCTCGCGCAGAGCTGCTCGACGCTCAACAACTGGCTGGGGGACGTGGAGAACCAGCTGCAGTCGGACGACTACGGGCAGGACCTCACCAGCGTCAACATCCTCCTCAACAAGCAACAGGTGCGCACATCTACCGACTAGGGCTGCCAGCCGTTCCCGTGCGGACCCGAAGCCGGATGCATCTCTAAGTGAGCACGAGGTGTGTGTTTCAGAACTGTGCAGTTCACTGCAATGAAGCTCAACACAAACCCCGTACCGGACCTCGGTGCAAATGAAATTAGCTGCCACCTGCATTTGGATCGTGTTTTGTACGTGTTGAACCGTGCTAATTGGAGGTGCGGAGAAGGACAACAAACTAAACACAAAGCGGTTCTAAAGAAATGAGTTTGTCCAAACCTGGACAAGTTGGTAACAATGTTTTTGACAAGCGTGGCATCGTCGCCGTTTTGTAATTAGTACCGATACATTCTGGCCTGCTTTGATTAACACGTACATTTTCACACAGCAGCTGCTGCCTACCGTCAGTGGAGTTTTCTGGGTTGAGCTGCGAGTTGAGAATTTCTCCTCTCAAGTGTTTTGCCACGCACAGAACGATGCATGTTGGAAGGAAGCAGTGACCGCAATCCAACAACAACGGAGGGCAGAGGAGCGACGCTCACAACAATGAGCGGAGCACCGAGTGGCTAAAACACAGCGAGTTGGCACAGTAGGGGGCACAGGTGGTGTATTGGCCAGTCGTCTCAGTCATTCGACACATTGCACCTGGGTCCGCCCCGTGACCTCCTGCCAGTGGGCGTTCGACACTTCACGTAGTCTCAATGTGCACATAGCCTGGCACAGGCACTGTGGTGACGTCACCGCCTGGTGATGCTCAGTCAGAAATCGCTCGTCCGATGAGTCCGCAAACTTGCACGGCAAATTAAGTGCGAACGCTCGGGGAGATTCCCTTCATCCAACCCACAGGAGTGCGCAGAGCTGGAGAGTAAAAAAAACACTCCAACACGTGGCTGCTGTTACTGACGCGGGCGGCGGGAGTAAAATAGCCGGGGACGTGCTTGTCCGACTAACGGCGGCCCCATGTGTGTCTCGACGGAATCCAGCTGCTGGAGAAGCAGGTGGAGGTGCGTGCCAAGGAGGCGGAGGATCTGTCCGGCCAGGCCGAAGCGTTGCAACGCGAGGGCAAGGGCGGCCCCGAGGTGGCCGGCCAGCGGCACGCGCTGGAGCGGCGGGTGCACCACGTGGCCGGGCCGCTGGCGCAGCGGCGGGAGCGGCTGCTCGCCTCCAAGGAGGGCTTTCAGTTCAACAGAGACCTGGAGGACGAGATGGTGAGCGCTGCAGCTCCTGCACTCCCGCCCCCCCCCCCCCACGTGAATGTGTTCCGGCGCCGGCAACTTGAGACGCGAGGGTCGGCGTGCGGCCGTGGGTGTTCACGAGCAGGCCCCGCAGAAGAAGACATTGTACAAACCCCAGCAGGCAAGCTTGTGGCAGGGCCCCATGTGATGCGTACGCAGCAGGGTGAGGGGTCACGAGTGGGTTATGGGATGTTGCGAAGCCCACAGTGATGGATAAAGAATGGAGGGAGAATCTAAAAAAATAGTGTTTTGTACTAAAGATGATTTACGAAAGTTATCAACATAAGGTATATATCGGATCAATTGCTTATGCGGTAAGTGTTATATTGGACAGACGGGACATAACATTAGCGTAAGACTAAAAGAACACCAAAGGAACATTACATTCTCCCAAACACAGCTGCCAGCAGTGGCAGAGCATGCTTGCCAACAAGGACATTCAATTGATCTTGATAACGTTGAATTGTTATGCAGAACTAATTATTACTGGCCAAGACTAGTTCGAGAATCAATTGAAATTGAGAAGAATTCAAATAATTTTAATCGCTGTGATAGCTATAAACTCAGCGCAGCCTGGCAGCATATTATTAAGTGATACACGACGCATTGCAATTCCTTACAGGTGAGTCACATGCTAAGTGGCTGATTACTGATCTTATTACATAATTAATTTACCCCAACCTCTGCCTCTGATCTCGAAACCTGATGGGGTTCAACAACGATGACGTCATCCTGCACTATTTAATACCGGAAGCAGGCAGATGGCTTCATTATTCTGGTAAATTGCCCGAAGATGCTGAATGTAATTTCCAACGAAACGTCGTACTCAATTTGTTAATGTTGTGGATCTACTCTTCAACACCCCGGTGGGCTAAAGCAGCGAACTATTTTGTCTTTTGTCAACGTGACATATTTTTTGTTGATTGGCCGCGTCGGGTGGTGGAGGGTTAGGACACATTTATAAATAACGCGATCTAACCCAAAAACCTTTTATGAAGAATCTAAAAAGTTTTTCAGTGGTAGAATGAGCATGGGGGGGAGGGGGTGCTCACCACGATGATTTTGAGACCCTGAGCCAGGTGTGGAGATTTTACTTTTTTTACTTAGTTGGGGACAACTGTTGAGTGCTACCGATTTGATCGACCTCGTTGGGACGACCTATTGCGTTGACGTGTTGCGTTGACCCACGACCATGATTTTGAACTCGCAGTCCCAGCCGTTGGTGGAACCCGGGCACTCTGCCACACACGCGAAGGAAGTGAACAGCTCTTGAGCGAGGATGCGTGAGCCAGTGTCTGCACCAACGGGCATTTTGTTCGTGTACAGGCTCTCTGGGGCCTGTGTGAGCCTGTGCCATACGGCGCGAGAGCAGTGCCGCATTACCCCTGAAGCATGTGGACTGTGGACGTCACTCACTACACGAGGCCCTTTCTTTACGCAGTCCTGTGACTTGGGCCAGCCCTGGTCATTAGTTTATTAGGCCTAGAATTAGTCGCTAAGCGTCGGTTAAAAACTTTTAAACGTATCAGTTGAGAGTTATATACTCACGTGATTAATGCCACCGACTCCCATTGTTCTTCACAAACAGAATGCCGCGATGCATGAGGGAGCTTTACAAGTTATGCTGCTAAAATAAGTTAACTTATGGCCGGTGTTGGTTTATCACCGCAGCAGTTGACATCGTGTGATGTAGTGCTGCATCAGTTAACCGATTAATGATTTGTAATTAAGATTATGACGTATGCATAACATCACATGTTTGAGAATCTGTGATGAATCTTTGCTGGTTGTGGCTGGTAAGGAATTTGCGTAACCCCTGCAGTGAGTAGAGGCCACTCAAATTGACCACGATATTAAATAATCATGGAATTTTGAATACAATTCTGATCCTGGATCATGCGTGGCGCCGGTGAATTGTTAACCCTCCAGCTATGTTCGAGCCTACGTGACGGGTGCTTTGCAGACCTATTCCTCGAGTGGGTACAAAATTCTGTTATGTCCGCAAGTCGTTTCGATGCACGCTACCCAGCGCCATGTGGGTCCCATTATCACACGCTCCCCACCCTGTAGCTAGTGACTCCGTTGAGCAAAGCGGGACCCTGGTCACCGTCGCTAACGTCACTCGTGATTTGCATTTTATTTGCCCCCCCCCCCCCCACCCGGAATCAGCTCTGGGTCGAGGAGCGGATGCCACTCGCGACGTCTTCCGACCACGGGAATAACCTGCAAACGACGCAGCTCCTCATCAAGAAGAACGAGGTAGGGGGTGGCTCTTCGCTCCACCTCTGTGGGATCTGCAGGGGCGTCATGCCACCATGCCATTGGCAGCAATGGAGAAGAGGCGCGTGTCATTTTAATTCTGTGTAGAGGGACAATTATATTTTGTTGTATGTACGTGCGATTGGAAAGGCACCACTAATTAGCTCCCGCACCTCCCATTACCATGGTTGTCTACGTATGGTGCGAAATAAGTTCCACATACATACATACAGTTCAACATATATTCATACGTGTCACCTTGCAACGCTACACGTTGTGTTCGTTTACCGTGCATTTTTAATCCAATAATGATGCTGCTCCATGCCACTCCATCGACTAGAAGTCTGAGTGCGCGTCCTGTAGACTGTACAAACGGTGCCAGGCTGGGCACTTTTGCGCGCATTGCTGCGCCACCAAAGCAGTTGGTCAGCTGACAACCAACGCCGATGAGTGGCAGAAGAAGCGAGAGGTAGATTTTCTAACGTGTGTTGCTGCCTTTCCAGAAATGGGTCGCAACGCACCCTCCGGCAAAGCAAACGGCCATTTACAAAGAGCATTTCTGCCAGCATTTTTGGATAACTCGTAAACATATCCCATTCCAGTTCCAGAAACCACAGATGTCCTTTGAGAGAGGGCATCCCGGCCTCCGTGAGGTTCCCGCCACCGTGACGGTGACCAGCGAGCGACGCGACGAAGCCGACACGGCGTGTGTGACTTACAGACCCTGCAGAAGGAGACGGAGGGCCACCGTCCGCGCATGGAGGAGGTGTACCAGCGGGGGAAGGCGCTGCTGGCCCGCGGGGTGGTGCCGCCCAGCGGCGGCGACCGCCTGGAGGGGTTGAAGGCGACGTGGACCCGCCTCGGGCAAGAGGTGGACAAGCGGCGGGGACGGCTGGAGGCGGCGCTGCGGGCTTACCAGTTCTACTGCGACGCGGCCCAGGCCGAGGCCTGGATGGACGAGCAGGAGCTGCACATGATCACCCAGGAGAAGGCCAAGGTGGGGGTTGTTGTCAGCCTCGCTTGTCGCGACGGCGGTGTGATGCGCCGCTCAATATTACGACGATATAAATACCGTGGTCGGTGATCGTGATGATGATGATAATAATAATAATGCTTTGTTTTCTGCGGGACAAACCCTACTGAGGGTCATCAAGACTTCCTCTTTGAGGAAGGTTTTTGAAAACTTGTGCGTGACGTCACTAGGGCCTAGAGGTTGGTACCGCGCGCTTTGAGACCGTTGACAGACAGTAGAGGGTATATAGAGAGAGACATGGTTGCTAGGGTTACTGAATGGTCGTGTTTGTTGTTGCTTCCGAATTTTTTTTAACAAATTGTCGAATTTACTTACGAGACCATCCAGATTAAGCTACGTTTTAGTGAGTTGCCGAGGAAGGAAGAAAGAAAAAATAAAAGACATCGGGACTTAGACGAGTGTAACGCTGTGCTCCGTGGTCCACTGGTCGCCTGCGGAAACGGTTTCAGCTACAACAGTTCAGAGGAGTTTTGGCTTAGAAAAGTTTAATTGTTACACACGGTGACCCACGAAGACAGTGTGGAGGGGTGACAGCGGTGAGTGGAGCGTGGCTTCTACAGGGGTTGTTGTTTGTGCGCAGGACGAGGCAAGCGCAACGGCGCAGCTCGCGCGCTGCGACCAGCTGGAGCGCGCCGTGCTGGACTACGGCGACGCGGTGCGCCGGCTTGGGGATGGCGCGCGGGCCATGGTGGACGCCGCACACCCCGACAGGTGGAGCAGCAGCGCGTCCACCAAACCGTCCATTCCCTGCGCTCGTCAGCGGCGTGAACTTCCACCCCCTCTCCACCCACCCTCCTCTTTGTATCTGTAGCCATCCGCACGTGCGATTAGCACGGTCGGCTACGTACGGTGCGAAAGAAGTTCAACGTACACACGTGCATCGTCTGTGTTGTCCGCAGCTTTGTCATTTGTTGTATCCGCAATAAGGGTTGCACTGAATAGGAAGTGTGCAGGATGGAGGAGGGCCTGCTACTGAGAGGGGCTCGCCGCACGTTTGGCGACCGAGTGGAGAAACCTAGGAGCAGAGGGTGGGAGGCTGCCAGGGCAGTTCTATGGGTCTCTGTGAGTTTGTGGGTCTCTGGTGCTAGTCTGTGAGTCTCTGCGTAAGTGTATAGGTGATAGTGGGAGTCTATAGGTCTCTCACGTGAGTAGAAAGCCAGATGGTGTGAGACTTTCAGGGCGGGTGTTTGAGGTTGCCTCGTGTTGACTGCATCAGCCGCTGTGGGGTCTTGGTGGAGGGGAGAAAGCGCTGGCAAGGAGAGGTGTGCAGCTGGTGTCGGTGGCTTTGGCCACGGTGACCCCTGACCTCATCTCTGTTGGCCACAGGCAGGGGAGTGCGTAACGCCGGATGGCAAACCACACCGGAAGATTCCAACAACAGGATACAACAGAAAATCCGCGAAGAACCATTCCGGATCGGCGGAACCACATGAAAGTGAAAGGCACGGATTAGGGCCCCCCCCCTGCCCCAGCCAAGTGGGGACCTCGTGCAGGGGGGTGGGAGATAGACGATTCAAATGGGGAGGGTAGACAGGGAGAGGGGGGGAGAAGAACAACAACAACCAGCACACTAAGGGAAGGCCTGGGGAGAGGGGGCGCAGAGGTCGGGACACCGAGTGGCAGCCTTTTAATGAAGCCCAAACAAAAACTTGTGCCGTCATTCTCTCAGTGACAAACCCCCCACCCACAGGGAGTTACCGGCTACTCAAGTCGCATTGCGACCCGAATTGTAATTTCAACATCAGCTTCACCGTTTAGCTCACGCGCAGGTCACCCAGATTCTGCACAGAACATATCAGCCGTGGCTATACCGTAGGTCCTCATTTTGTACCAATCAGAATGATTGGTTCTTTCGGTAAAGTCATGCGACTTTCCCGAAAGAACCATAGAATATGAATTCCTGCAGTCACGAAAGTTTTAAGTCAGATTAATTTTTTTTAGACATTTCTTCTTCACGCAGTCACGGCTACATGCCTAGGTTTGGCAGTGTGCTCGCCATCTCAAAGCTCCACACATTGTATATTTGTTTTATATGTATGGAAATGTTTTAATCGAAATTGTTGTCCATTGAGGTGCGCCATTCTTGGAAATCCATAATATCCGAAGCAGAAAGCATGGCCATATCACATCAACAACAACAACAGCCGTGATTTGCCACTAAGTGGCGGTGACGTCACCACGGCGCTTGTGCCAGGCCCGTTGCCAGGAGGTCAGGGGACAGACCCAGGTGCCATGGGTTGCCTGACTGAGATGACTGGCTGATGCACCACCTGTGCCCCTTACTGTGCCAACTTATATAATATCATACACGTGTACATATGCGCAAGCTATAGACGCATATTAGTGGCTCACATTAACTAATCTGATTTAGTGGTGGTGTGATGGTGGTGATGTGTTGGCAGTGGTGGTGATTTCGTGACATTGGGTGGTGTTGTGGCGGTATTGGTGGTAATGTCGTTGTGGCGGGGGTGGTGATGTGGTGGCAGTGCCGGTTGGTAACGTGCCGGCCGGCGGTTGCTCTGCGCGTTCCAGCGAGCAGATCAGAAGCAAGCAGTCACAGGTGGAGCGGCTGTATCGCAGTCTGCAGGAGCTGGTGCAGGAGAGACACGTCGGGGCGGGGGGTCTGTGCAGGCTCTTCCACCTGCAGCGGGAGGTGGAGGACCTGCAGCAGTGGATCTCTGAGAAGGAGGTCCTCGCCGTCTCCCCGGAGCTGGGCCAGGATTACGAGCACGTCACGGTACGTCGGCACGCAGCACACGCTGCTGCCTCTGCGGCTCCCTGTGTTCACGCAGTTTTATTTCATAAAAATATAAAACAATAGAATTCTCACGACGTATCGATTGCAACACAAGCAATCATCGTCAGGTGTTAAAACCAAATTTTATTGCTGTGGTTTTCACACCTGAAGATGATTGCTTGTGTTGCAATCAAAACGTCGTGATAATTGTATTGTTTTATGTTTTTATTATTTTATTCCCTTCTACGTGACTTTACCGAAAGAACCAAGAATATAAATCCCTGCAGTCACGAAAGCTTTAAATCAAAATGTATTTTATTTAACTCGACTATTACCAGGTCGGGCTCACTGAGCTATAGACAGCTCTTTTCAGAAGCGACCAGCCTATCACAAATTATAGCTCAACGAAGTGGCTTGTCATTGTGTGGAAATTGACAGCAGACAGATACTCTGCATGTACGTTTATTATAAATATAGAGGGACAAATTAGAAATCCCGGACAAAACTCTACGCGACCGCGGGGAGAACATGCAAACTCCAAACATGCAGGCGTCAGGTTTGGGATCGAACCCACGACCACCCGTATACCAGCGAGGTGGTTAACGTCTCCTGGCCACCGCGGTGCCCTCCGTGTCCAGGGCTGGCAGTGTGCTTGCCCATCTCACAGCTCCTCGCTATACAGCCACGTGTCTTGAAGGGGGACGTTTTCAGCTCCACAATTGAACCTCATGGCGGGACCCCGGGGCCCCATAAGCCCCCGGCTCTCGCATAAACATTATATTATAATGTAAACAAAAACTTTGCTCTTTTTCACCAATGGGTTTGAAGGATGGTGGCAATTGTTGTCTTGTTAAACTTTGCCTTTAAAACTGAAAACTACTTAGCTGAAGTACCTCTATTTAAATGCACTATCGAAAAAATAATTTACACCCCTCTGTCAATCATCGTGTTTCTCAGTTTGGATTTGTGAACACACTTTGTAAACGGTACATAAAATAGTACGCGTTTTCAATGCGCTGTTCATATTGTAACAAGCGTTTATACCAATGTTACTCTACAGAGTAAGTGGGTCGCCGCACTTCTTATCCGCATTTATACGAGCGGTATGTGGGGACTATGGCTTAACCGCAAAAAAAACCTATTTGCACAAATGCATATGGACAAGAGAAGTATTATCAAACAGGTAATAGGATTGTCATTGATTGATCCTGCCGGCAGACATTGGAAGGTCACAAATAATAATGAAGATAAGAGAGTAGTTTCACTGTATTATGACAACAGAATGATCCGCGCCAGGTGGGTCATGGCGTTTATGTGCGCGGTGTGACGGAGTCGCCAAAAATAAATAAATAGATTTTGACTTCTGTTTATTCGGGACCCCGTGGTCCTGCCATAAGGTTGAATTGTTCCACTCGTGTGGCACGAGTTAAAATGGCCGCCATAAATTTTTTTCTCGTTGTGGCAATGGTGTGAGTTGGGTTAGTTTATAAGGTCTCCCCCCCCCCCACCCCTATTTGTATGTACACGTGTATGTAAATGGACGGTCAATTTCGATTTTGGCCAATAGGTAGCTGAGCAGGACTCTTGGGTGGTTACCTTGTAAGCATCTCAGCCACGTGGACAATGGAGGCCTGGGGCAGGCCCTACTCAGTGTGATGTACATGTCGTTTCGTTTTACAGATATTCTTAAATAATTGTGTTGCCATCAATCTGGAGCCCCGCATATCTTCCTTTCGAACGTGCAACACTTGAACGGCATGCAGTGTCATCCGCTTTAGCATCATCGACACACGTGGAGATACGAGTTTAAAAAAAGATCCGTATTCCTTTTGCATCATCTTACTGGGTTCTCAAATGCAGCATAATAGCTACACCGTTGCCCACAGTGAAATGCAACTGTCTAATATTACATGGAGGCTTTACAGCCAGTGAACTACACACACACTCACTCCTCGTCTTACTGAAGGTGACCTAAATGTTTCATAATCGGGCTACCACCTCTTCTACTGTAGACCAAATCCAGACATATTTTTCAATCAGCCAGCTCTCTTCACTGTCTTACGGTGTTGAAGTTCCACACAATACCGCTGCGAATTCTCGGTACAAAATCGATTTCTAGCAATGGCCGTTCTTCATTGCACATCATCAGTGTGGCTACGCACAAGAACCAGTTTCGTAAAATGTGACCTATTATATGTTTGTTCTTTTAAGGCCACAGCAACGATGTTTTTCAGTAAAAGTAGAGTTGCCACCTGTCCATATTTGACCAGAACAAGTCCAGAAATTGGCACCTGCTGTGTTTGTGGAGCAGGAATTGATTTGTCTACTTAGATTTCTGTTTGTGTTGCTAACTGTGCTTGTGCACCACTGCCAATGCAGTGGCAGCCGCATCACGGAGCGATTGTTCACTTTATGCACAGGCGGCACTCGTGCGGTGGCTAGGAGATGTTAACTACCTCGCCTGGTATGCAGGAGGTCGTGGGTTCGATCTCGACCCTGACGCGTGTTGTATATTTGGAGTTTGCGTGTTCTCTCTCCCCTTAGTCATGTGAATTTTACTCCGTGTTTTTCCCTCCACATTGAGAATAAACATGCATATAGAGAAGTTTCCACTTGAAAAGCCACTTCGCTGAGCAATCATTTGTGGCCAGGTTGCTTCTGAAAAACAGCTTTGTAGCTCAGTGGGACCGTACCTAGTGAAATACAAAGTAGTTGTGCGTGTTCTGCTCGCTCAGATGCTGCAGGAGAAGTTCACGGAGCTGGCCCGAGACACGGAGGGCATCGGGCAGGAGCGCGTCGACGCCTTCGGCAAAGCGGCCGATGAGCTGCTGCGCGAGGGCCACCCTGACTCGCCCACCGTGCGCCAGTGGAAGGCCTCGCTCGACGCATCGTGGCGCAAGCTGCTCGAGAAGATGGCCACGCGCAAGCGGGGCCTGGCGGGCTCGGCACGGATTCACAAGCTGCTGCATGACGCGCGGGAGCTGCAGGGCCGCGTGCAGGAAAAGCAAGCGCAGATCCCCGAGGAGTCGGGCCGAGACCTCAACCACGTGGCGTCGCTGCAGCGCATGCACTCGGCGCTGGAGCACGACCTGCTGGCGCTCGGAGCACAGGTAGCTCGGAGTGCGGGTAGTGTCGCACTCGCCAGCTTCCCTGCAAGGGGTTCCGTTGTCTGGCAGCGCTGTGCTGGAGGAGTGGATGTGCGAGTTGCGGTGAAACAGCCGAAGCAAATTCCGTAGACCTTTTTAGGCTGTCGTGGAGCGTTTTTACTTGCTGAACAGTTGCTTGGCACAGGTCCAATGGACCAAATTGGTGAAGCGGCTAGGAACAAACGGGGCTTTCAAAGTTGTAATGGATAAGAGTTGACAACTCATCTCTTGAAATTTAACAAGAGGAAATGGAAAGGAATGCCAAAGTTGACCAGTGCGAGGAGGACGAGGGAGACGTGGAGATCATTCTTGGTCCCCTTTCCCTGGAGGCAAAAAAGTGCACGCGTCGGCGGCTTGGCCCATTTCCACGAGTCACCTCGGTGCAACAAGATGCGAGACAGACGACACCAGACCAAAAAAAGATTCAACTCTTCATTTCAAGTCGTGTCCTGAATTGTGACAATTCGTGCAGTAACGTGGGCCGAGGGTGGATTGTTACGAGCCTCATCAACTGGGCTGGATTGCGCGCGAGCCACTTTGCTGGCGAGTGACCCTCACCAAGCCAGGCGTGTGGGCTTGCCCTTCCGTGTTCTTGTGCGCCCATCTCAGTTGAGGTGATATTGGGCACTCTCACATCAAAACAGCAGCTTCTATAATTGAGGTTTTTGTTGGGTTAGATCACGTAAATATAAATACGTCGTTATACCCGCCACCACCACCCGATACAGCTAATTAGTAAGGTTTGTCACGTAAACATAAAACATTCCACTTAGTTACTAGTTCAGCACTCACCGGTGCTTTGGAGAGTAAACCCACAACAACATTTACAATTGGCGGCTTCTGCCCTTTGGCTCATTTCAGGTGCAGCAGCTGCGCGAGGAGTGCTCTCTGCTGTTGAGCGGCGACATCGGAGACAAGGCGCCCGAGGTCCGCAGGCAGGAGGAGAAGGTGGTGGCCTCGTGGACCGCCCTGCAGGAGGCCTGCAAGGCCCACCGGTTGAGCCTCGCCCAGGCCAGCGAGAGGTTCCACTTCTTCAGCCTGGTGCGCGACCTCATGCTGTGGATGGAGACGATCATCCGACAGATCAAGGCCCAGGACACCCCCAGGTGCGAGGGCTTCAGCGTCTCTGCGTGAATTCTGCCGTGTGACGGAGGGAGGCCGGCCAAGTGGCTCGGTGGGTGAAGTGAGTGGCTCGTGGTGGGAAGGCTTGCGAGTTTCAAATCCCGCTTAGGGGTTTGACTCGGCCTCTCACCCCCCTCTTTAGGGGCCATTAAAACAAAGTACCGCCTTGTGGGGAAGCCGACGGTGGTTGTCCTATGGACATACTCGCCCCTGCCGTAGGAACGTGGAATTTCCACCACTGGCTCAAGGTTGTAAACGGGAGGTGAGCACAACAAACTTCATTGCTCATTTGAGCAGGAAATAACTTTTTGACTTGTTTCCCGTAGAACTAAATTAAAGTCAAGTTTCTCTCAGTCCTGAGGAATGAGTCAACCCCCGACTGGGAATAGTGGATCGACAGCGCCACCTCAGGTCGTGAATCACTCGAATCAGACGGTTGTGAGGTCAAATCTCGGTGGGGAGATCGCTCAGCCTGGCAGCTCACTAGGGTTGATAAAAATGTGTGTGACATTGTGGAAAGTCAGACTTTGAAAACTCGGAAATGAGGCGAGGAGGTGCTACCCAGGGTCTCTTCCGAGTTGTTGTTCCTGATGCAGGGCCCTCTGCAGGCCTGAGCGTCGCCGTGGGCCCTCGTGAGTGGCGCTCTTGTGTTGACGACAGGGACGTGTCTGCGGTGGAGCTGCTCATGAACTACCACCAGGGAATCAAGGCGGAGGTGGAAGCCCGCGACGATAACTTCGCGGCCTGCATTGACCTGGGAAAATCGCTCATCGCGAGGAATCACGACGCCGCACAAGAGGTGGAGGCCCGCGAGACATTTCCCAGATTGGCCTCGCGTTGAGCACGCAGGCCGTGAAAGCCCAACTAGACGTCGTGCCTTGAGAAAAAAGTCACAATTCTTCAAACGTTAGGTGATGGCTCGTGTCTATTGGCAATCACAAGTCATGAGTGGAAATTCACATTCGTGTGGCAGGGAACCGCTGTTGATTTCCCGCATAGTGATACTCTTTTTTTATCAACCCCCAAGAGAAATCATGAGCAGAGCAAATCCTCTGCCGGGATTTGTTCTTGTGACCTTTCTGATCGTGAGCTGGGTGCTTTGCCACTGCGGGTGTGCTTCTGTGGACACCAATCTAAACAAGTTAGGCAGCTCTTATGAAGCGCTGCATCGCGAAGAGAGCAGTGGTATATGGCAGTGTCGTCTCATCGACTCATCACCTTCGACCAGTGGCTCCTCAAGGCCGGGTGGAAGTGGTCCGCGGGACTCGTTGCGCCCAGGACGTTTCTTTTTTTTGTTGTTCACAAAACACCGTACGGCATCAGCCATCCCATCAATGTTACGAGTCAATGCCAAGAGAGTTGAAACATTTTTCTGGGTGCTTTAACCTTGAGGCGTTGTTGGTGCACGGTAGTGAGAAGGAAAAATAATGTCGACGCGGGAAAGTTGCAACACCGCTGCTTCGTACTAAAGTTTTACAGAGTATGAAACTGTTACAACTGTTTCGCTCAGCCTCGTCGACTTATTCTTTACCTTTCGATTTTAAGCTTTCTTGCTGTGGTTTTCACACCTGATGATGATTGCTTGTGTCACAATCGAAACGTTGTGAGAATTTATTATTATTATTATTTTATTATTTCCCTTCTATGTGACTTTACCGAAAGAACCAAGAATATTATCTTTTACCGTCTGTATAGAGAAATAACGTAACCTTTGTTTTTGCTTTAGATTAAGGAAAAGCTGGAGCAGCTGAACGAGAAGCGACAGACCATGCTGGACATGTGGGATAATCGTTGGGACTGGCTGCAGATCTGTGAGTATCCCACATGTACCTGGGTTAGCTCTGGACGTATGTGCAATGTACTTGCTGCTGATGTTTTGTCAGGACTTGGCTCTATGCAGGTACCCGCTGTTACCTGAGAACACAGTCATACCCCAGATTACGTCGGGGGTGCGTTCATGAAAGGTGCGACGACGAATATCAAAACGACGTCAAAGCGATTTACAGGGTAGGTGGTGGTGTAGGCGAAGGGTGAGAAGCGACGGACACGAGAAAGGACAGACGATGCTGTCAGCAACGTAAGTGTGTTGGTTGACGGGACGCAAATCGAGTCGTGGCGGTCTCAATCATGAAGTGGCGACGTATTTGCGAAACGACGCAAACGGGGGAGACGTAAATCGTGGTGTTACTGTGTAGCTCAGAAGTGGCGTCATCGCCGAGCCATGCGGTAGCCTCCCCGTGGCCATCTGTAGCTCTCGTAGCCCTCCGCTGACCTAAGTCAGTGTGCAGTCATCAGCAATGTACAACACTGTTTGCACAGTGCCACAGCTGCAGTGTGGCTTGTCGTGAAGATCCCAACGGTGGAGGTTAGCTGCACAAAGTAAACTAAACTTTTTTTTATTTTACCAGGTAAAGCCCACTGAGTTATTTAACTTTTTTTTTCAGAAGTGACCTGGCCACAAATGACAGCTCAGCAAAGTGGCTTTTCACGTGGAAATTTATAGCAGCCAGGGAGCGACGACTGTTGCGTGTGTTACGCCAATTGACTTTATTTGTGGGCTTTCTTGCGAATTTGGAAAATGTGGACGATGACACCGGCACATGGTGTCCTTCCTCTCTAACGTTCACTGCGAGTGAAGCAGATACCACACCGCAGTAATGACCAGGGCGGCCTGCCGGATATGAACCGTGAACTTTAGCAACAAGCGGCGAACGCGATCCCGCCGGGCCACGCCAACCGCCTCCGTGGTCTTCAGGACAATCAAAAGAACGTCCAATCTGGTTTCCACCAAGGTCGTTGCGGATGCAGATCTCCTTTGCGTTATCAATGTGTAGTGACATCGCGGGATGTCACTATGCTGTGCCGGCCCTAGAGAGGCACGGCGTGTGATGTAACGGCATCTCGGACACCACAGTGATGTGGGTGTAGTACCGGCCCTAGAGGGGCTCGGTGAGCGCTGGTTGATAGTGCCAGCCCTACAGGATAGGTTGTGGGTGTGCCGGGGTTACTAAAGGCCATAGCACTGTGGTTGACCCGAGATGACACGTGACCAGTTAAGTCTACAAAGGGGCACCAAGTGGGGGCTAGGGGTGGTCACGTGGTCCGGGTCCAGATCCTGCTCGAGGATTCTGGAAGGTGGTCGTGGCCAAGGGTGGAGCCAGCCACGCCAGAGAATATAAGCCGGGTCGCCCAGAGGGATCGGCGTTGTTGTTCATCCTGAAGAAGCCTTCGTCTACGTTCTACCGAGTCTACAACACGTGGACCTGGACCCGAGCTGTGGTCCCGGTCCGTAGTAGCTAGTTAGGTTGTAATTAGTGTAGTTAGCCTGGTGGTCACCACCATAGGTTGTTATTCTGTTAAAGGGCAGTTACCCCGTATGTTGGTGTTAAATAAATGTGTTGCCTCCAAGAGTACGTCTGCGACTCAGTTGAACTCACTACAAATGATCTCTTCCTCCTCCTCTTGTCTGGGCGTGGATCCCGCCCGCTTTCAGTGTTCCTGATCTCTAAATAACACGTGCGCCACCGTGCTTCCGTTCCTCCCGTTCCCACAGTGATCGAGGTGTGCCAGTTTGCGAGGGATTCAAACGTGGCGGAGGCCTGGCTGGTGATGCAGGAGGCGTGCCTCTCCACCACGGAGCTGGGCGACAGCGTGGACGCCGTGGAGAAGCTGCTGAAGCGGCACGAGGCGCTGGAGAAGCTGGCCTCCACCTGGGAGGAGCGCTTCTCACTTCTGGAGCGACCCACCTCGGTAATGGCGCAGCACGTTCGTGCCGTTAGAGTTTACCTGCGGTCGTTTCTGGGACGCCCAGTTCAGGAATGGGGCCGGGTCGTTCAGGGGATGAGCGAGCGGCTCTCAATGGGTCGGTTATGGGTTCAAATCCTGGTTTTGGAGAAGTTGACTCATCCCATCATCCCACCATCCGAGGGTCGATACAATGAGTACTGCTTTGTGAGAAGACAACGGAGGTTGTTATATGGATAGACTCACCCCGCCATAGGAATGAGGAATTTCCACCTCTGCTTTAGAGCTGTAAAGTGGAGGTGAGCACTGCCTCAGCTCTCATTTGAGCAAGAAATCACTTTGCCTTTTTTTCTCTCTTTGGGACTCATTCATTTCGTTTCGTAAAAGTTATCTCGTTTGTAATTACAAAAAAAATATTTTGTTATATAGGCCTAACCTCCTGACTGTTCTATGGGCAAGCACTTGAGCACCTGATGTATTGAGGTTGCGGTGCAAGTGTTGGTATTTACATCAGCTGGTGGCGGTGCGCGCGGACTGGTATTTGCAAGGCGGGCGCGTACGTAACACAAGAAGAGCACGTGAATATGGTTACACTAACTGTATAATAGTTTACGTGGAGTATAATAGTAACGGCGATAATAATAGCGATAACAGTAATAGCAGCAGAGCGGTGCTGCTGCTGCTGCCGCATGAGGGTCGCACGAAGCTACCGGGCAGGACGCAGCTTCAGATCCGCGCGCGACGCACCAAGTGCTCGGTAATACCGAACTGAATGCTCTACGTCGTGCGGAGCGTCTCAACGGAGAGAGCAGGGGGGCTGCTGGCTGCAGGACCCCTCTGCTGCGCTTGCGAACACCAACGTGCGTGGGGGGGGGGGGGGTGTGCTTCGCTGTGCAGCATTCGTCACAGAATTCCTCTCTTGCACCCCCCCGCCCCCCACGCAGTTGGAGATCCGGGAGTTCCGCCGCCGCGATGAGTTTGGCAGCCAGGACTCGCTGCACAGCAACCACGGCGTCGCGCTGCACAACGGAGCCGGACAGTCGGCCATGTGAGTTCGGGGAGGGGGGGGGGTCCCTCTCGGCGCCCACGTTAGATCTTTGTGGGGGGGGCGAGGGGGCACGCGGCGGTGGGGGAGGGGGGGGGGGAGTTTGGAACGAGTCACGGACTGTTTCGTTTGCAATATGTAGAGATGAAAACGTTCTCAGGGTTTCACTGCCGCCATACGCAGCACGGCCTGCCGTGTGAGCGGTTCAGAGGAAAGTGGAGACGTGAAGACCACCGTGCAGCATTGGGTGTTGTATGAATCCAAACAGTCCTCGGGTTACGGAAGGGTTAGGTTCCCGAGAAGCATCCGTAACCCGAATTTTTCGTATGTCGGAAACTTAACAATTTTCCCCCAAAGTCTAGATAAATTCAATTGACCTTAATCTGAGTTAAGCTCGAGTGAGGCGTAACGCTAACCCACCTTACACCTCGCTCCACGGTATTCATCCGCGGCCTCACCACGCTGCACCACTTTCGCTTACGTAACTAACGCAAACATTTCCGCATGTGGAATTTTCTTAACACGGTTTATGGGATCATTTCCGTAAGGTCGGATTTCCCTAAGTCGGGTCTTCCACAACCAGGGGACTGTCTGTACACGTAAATAACGGCCAGGGCGTTGGTCAACATTCAGACGTTACACTGTCGCAATGCCTATTGAGTGGGTGCCTCCGTGGGTGAACTTCAGCGTAGCTTCTGTGACTACGCCGAGGTGCGTTTATCTCCGTACATCTTTCTTCTATCACTTCGGAATATATCTCTGTTCGAGACTAAATTTATTTCTCTCTCACCCTCATTCTACCTCATATCTCTGAGGAATTCATCTCACATCTCTCTTCTCATTATAATCTGATTAATGCCTCCTGTCACACTCCTATTTAACCTTTCTCAAACTGGACACCTTTATTAATTTATTTTCGCTAGTTTACAATTAGATAAAAAATATATATTCCGAATTTGAGGGACAAAGCGCACGTCGTAGTAATATTTAATATCATCATTACTGACGATTTAAAAAAGGGGGCTTCATCTGCACCAACCATTGATGGCCGCCGTGATGTCTCCGCAGGGCTCCCGAAACCGACGCCCGCGGCGATCTCCCACCGTACAATGGCTTCTCAAACAGCTCGCCGCTCGACTCGCCGAGGCTGGGCTATCGCTCACAAACCTACCAGAACTACCGGCCCAAGCGCCGGGGCACCTTAGAGCCAGCAAAGCCGCACGGCGTCGCGCAAGACTGAAGGCGGCTTTCCGCATCAAAAGCCCTTCACCGGTTTGCTTTCATCTGATTTTCGTGAAATGAAATCAAATGTACGGCAGCAGGTCGTTGCGGGTTTGTTTAGCCTGTTCCCCTCGGTAAACGAGCGTTCCACGTGGACCGTTCTAACGACGACAGCGCAGTCCCGACCCGTGCCGTAACCACGTCTGCCAATCACACGGCGGATATCACGCAACGTCCTTGGCAGGAGGAGTAATTTGACGCGGCACGTTACCTCTGCACGAGACGCCCAAGCATTGGCGTCCTTAATTTAACACGTACCTTTGCATGAAATTGTACAGAACGGTTCTGAATTACCCGACGTAGTACTTGACGTCGGTGTCGTCGTACAAGAGCAACTCATTGGCCCCTTGAGCACAATCCAGCGTGAAAGTCAGACAGGTGAAAATGGAAGCGCGCGAAATTTTGGTCAAAACTACCATTTCTCAACGTCGGGATGAGGGATTGTAACGTTGGCACTCGTCCCATGCGCGACAGTTAACGTGAGTGAATTCTGCAGCGTGACAGAATTGTTTTATTTTATACCCTACGTGACTTTACCGAAAGAACCAAAGAGTATGGATCCTTGCAGTCACGAAAACTTCAAATCCAGATTGACAGAATTCTCTAGGTCATCGCATCAATGATACCATTGATCCCCAAGGGGTACGAACCTACTCCATGGTTCACCATTCTGATACGTGACCACAGCGGCCACCTAATGCCTCAATACATCCGCCTGCCTCGGTGCATGGCGGGGAGGGGGGGTGGTTGTTGTCACGATGGCTTTTAACAAATGCAGTTTTGCACAGGTGAGGGTTTCGTGTGGATGGAGGTGCCGGGTTGGTGAGCGGTAGGGGCTGCAACGGTCCATTGATGAATCGATCGACTTTGATTCTTGAGCTTGTGGTGAGTGATAACATCCATCGAATCGTCTATAAGAATCTATATTTCCTCTATCTTTAAATTGGTAAAAAAATAAAAGATTCTCGAATAGACTCATCGTAGGGGACGTTGGAGGGGTGGAGTGGGGTTGGCAAATGGGGACAGGGATGGTGAATTGATGAATCGTTGCACCCCCAAGTGGCGAATGGACACGCGCGCGTTCCTGTCCTTGCATAGGACGGGGGTCGATTTCTTTGCTTGTTCCCGCACTAGCTTCGCTGTGAGGCGGGGGTGTGGACTGGTTATGCCCCGACCGGTTTTATGTTCCAATTAAGTTGTGTACGCATGTCGCGTGCGAACTAACCCCCGTGCCGGCGTCTCGCCGTCCGAGAGCGCCATCGCCCATGACCCCCGCGCGGGCAAGACAAAAAGCTTCTTGCAGGGACAAACGCGTGGCGTCGAGCTGCAGGCCGGGCGAGCGCGTTCACAACAATGCCGGCGAGCGCGCGAACGGGACGGCCGAAGTCCCCCGGGGGGAGGGGGGTGGTCAGCGCTCGTCGAGTCCTCGCGCACGCCACGTAGCACCCCGTCTCGAGCGCTTTGTAGGGGCGCCAGCGCTCCACCACGACGACAGGACGACTTTTGAATCTTTTTAAGGCAGGGTGGGCTGGGGGGGGGGGGGGGCTCGTCTCTCGTGCGCGTTCACTCGGGAGGTGGAAACAATTGTGATGGTCTGTCGCAGGAGCACGCTGCGCGCAGGACGTTATCGACGCTTTTCACGTTCAGCATTGTACACGTCTGTCCCCTTTGTCTCGAGTGTTCATTATTCCGGTGCGTAAAGCAGCGACGGGGGGCACCGGCTTCCAGGAACACTGGCCGGGCACGTTACCGGCGTCCAACGACGATGCCGCTTCATCTGCCCAGAAACCACCACGTGCCAATAGCAAGCATTTACCTGCACACGCGGCCTCGACGCACGTGCACCTCCAGCCGACTCGGTATACCTTGCAGCAGTGAACCCATTCACCCCCATGAGCAGTGCGTTTCAAGGCGAGCGTGCGAGTAGACCGAGCAATTCTAATCAAGTTTACCCTCGTGACAACTTGATTTGATTGGCTTTGTCGGGTTGGTGGAGGGTTATAGTAAAAAAAATGCAAATTGGCATCTTAACTTACACGATGATCTAACCCAAAGGAACCCGGCAATGAATGGTAATGTTCGTCGCTAGAGCCGGCGACGTACAGAATTAAGTTCAGTATTACCAAGCACTGCGACCCCCACACAGCGACAGCATCACCGCTGTGCTGCTGTCACTGTTATTATCGTCGTCGTTACTATTATACTCTACATAGCCATTATACAGTTAATGTAACCCTATTCATGTGCTCGCTATCTTCTGTTAAGTCTCAGCTGCGACAGGTAATTTCTCGTTCTCAAGAGTGATATACATAAAGCGTTGGTTTAAAACAAAAACATATTTTGTTGCGTCGCACCTGGGTTTTACATCGCTTCTGACGTGCACGGATGGGCAGAGTATGTGTGTGTGTGATCCCCTGTGAAGTCCTTGCTGCCCTCTTGGGGTGTAAGTTCAAACTACTGGGAAATATAAATTCAATGGTTGTAGGCAGCCAGCCCACTCACTAACTACATCGTTCTCGTGTTATGACCATGTTTGAGTTATTCTATTCTTATGTTTGCCCTATGTAGCCGTGTAAATTGTTGGCAGTTGCGGGATATTGTAAGTCCAAAACCACCAAAACATTTGATTGCTTTCATGTTTAAGCTTGCTCAAGTGCTGTGCAGGATACACAGAATAAAGGTCTCATCATAATGCTTTCGGTCAACACATTTGAGAGGACACTTTAACAAAACGTTGGCTACGTGCTTCAAACAATAAAGCTTTTGACTAAATACTGGATGACATGTTGATGACTTTGCGGCAGATGTTCATGTGCTTGCATCACATTCTACAATACCTCGACTCACAAGCTCCGCGACCACGTGAGAGACGTCTTCCCACATGGGATTTGACTGACAATTGGGCCCTGTCACGGCCGCAATTTAAACAAACGACAGATGAAGCCCTGCCCAATCCAGGTTGATGCTCGTTATTTTTTCACGTGCCGATTGTTTCAATCCATTGTGGACTTGGCCGCGCGGTGGTGGCTGTGATGCACGTGGCCTGTAATCCAGCACTGCGGAGGCAGCAGCGAGGGTTGGTGGCTCACCGCCGCACAAATGAGAAACTTCATTCCCGTGGGTGTCGAAGAGGTGCCGTACCCCAGCTCACCAGAAGGCAGTAACTATTTTTTTTTACTAATAACATCTTCCCCTCTTGTGTGCGATAGTGTTGCCCCCTCGCAAGCATGGGGTTCCTTTCCGCATGTAAACACTCGCAATTGGCTAATAACGCCTTCAATATATAGAGGACCGCAGAGCTTGGGCAACTGTATGCACCGACGATCGCGTGGCTGCCTTCCCGCTCGTTCCGTGGTTCCCCCGCGCCTCCGAGTCGTTCCCTCGCTTCCGAAAGCGGGCGACTACCGTGCTGTGCACATAAGTTAATTGTTATTGTTACACGACTCAAGATCCTTGTACGGCTGTTGTGGCTTGCTCTACGTGGGGACTGCCGTTCAGTCTTAAATCAGCAGTTGGCAATCGTATAGACGGCGGCTGACCATCTATGAGAAATACTGCCAATGATCATTGCATGGTAGGCGTTTCATGGAGGCATCCCTTCTGTTTCTAAAGCATCGTTCCATTACCATGCCACCGCTTAACTCCATATAATGTGTCCAACCTCAGAGCATCGACAGCTGCCACTACCTGTTGTCATTGAATGTTGTCAGCGATTGACTTCCATCAAATGTCCATTTTTGCACCTTGCAAATATGGAGGTGAGACTTAATGTCTTTCGGTGGGCACAACTGTTCACCAGCATGTTGTCATTCACTGTCTGATGAAGAAAAAAACAACAGCGTTCATCAGCTCAATTTCCATCTCAATGCCTTAACCATGCATTACCGTATCATCTGCTCCATATAAATGTATTACTACGTAAGATTTTGTGTATACTAATGCTGCTTAAAAAAACCAGAAGTAATCCCTGTATTATAAACATGAACCAATGTTGTTTGACAAATGTACTGAACGTTTTATTCCACCGTCCCCAACCCACATTAAGATGTTATACTGCACACTTGTAACGCAGGGAGCACACACGAGGTGACTTGGGCCCGGCCAAATTGACAAGGAGGCAAAATGTTTTTGAGGATATGGCCAATGCAGCCAATTAATGCATTCATGTCGGTACACGTCGTCACCCTGTAATCATTTTGCTTTGTCCAGCTAGAGACCCCAGTGTTATTTTGCTTCATGTTGTAACACCGTCATGCATGTTATTTTCCATTAAAAGAAAGAAAAAAAAACAATTTGTGCGCCGTCAACCCCCAAAATGTTTTCACGTTGCCGTTGAAATGCCATCAGAACAGCAAAGCAAGCCACTTAGGCCGGCACGGGGGACACATCCCCCATAAATCTGGCGGAAGAGGTTTTTGGGTTAGATTGCATAAACACAAGTGTCATGAAACCGGACACAGCCAATAAGTAAGGTTTGTTACGTAAACAAACGTGCAAATTCGTTACTAGTACAACACACTGGTGTGTTGGACAGTGAACCCATATTTACAATTCGAGAATGACGCTTTCACCAGTAATTACAAATAGCATCATCAGGCGATAGCCAGAGTTGTGGAGAAATTCCACCTGTATCGGTCTTAGAGGGATAAATGTGATGTCACTTGTAAGCCAATCAGATGCGAAGACCAGGGTGGGGGGGGGGTAATTTATGGGTTAACACGCTCTCCCAAGACACACTGGTGTCTTGTACGATGCAAGAATTGGCATGTTTTGTTCACGTGACACACCTAATTGGCTGTGTCGGGTGGTGGTGGGTTTAACGACACATTTACGCGATCTAACCCAACAAAAACCTCTTATGGATAACATTGGTCGCAAAAGCCTACGTGTCAACACGGCTTCCGTTCGGCACTCCCGAGTCTGGGCACACGACACGAATCCTTGAAAGCTCCACGTCGCCTTATCAACGAGTGCACAAAACATCTTACATTTGGGCAACTCTGTGGCGTCCCTTTCATCACATTTTCCGCGCACTCCTCCAGACGTATCGCCACTTCGCGCAACGCGAGCGGCGGCGTCTCCGGGAGGCCTTGTTCATCCAGCAGTGGATTTTTAAAATGGCGCTGCATGTGCATATGAAAACCCTCATCTCGTTTGGACACTCACAATGAGTGCAGTAGGTATAAAATACAGACCACGTGGTAATCCTGCCATAGCCAGGGGATTGTAGTTCATGGGCCTGAACAGACATTGGTACTACTTCAAGGGGCAAACCTTGAATCGTAAGCGATGTATTTATATGGCTAATACAAATGCAGTTTTGCACAGGTGAGGGTTTCGTGTGGAGGTGCCGGGTTGGTGAGCGGTAGGGGCTGCAATGATCCATTGATGAATCAATCGACTTTGATTCTTGAGCTTGTGATAAGTGAAGAACCGATGATGGAACATCCCTGGTTTCTCTGCTCAATAGAATTGGGACCCCTTAACCACATCCGCACAAACCATGGCAGATGCGGATACCTGATTGCACAAATAGAAATTAAATAAACTCTCCAGTAGTGTGCAACTGTGGTCAACGAGAACAGACCGTGCAACATGTAACGGACACAATGCTCCGATCCACAAATACAAAGAGACATCATAGCTGCTCCTGACGCGGTTATCTGGCTTGGGCCAACTGAATGTGCAATTGTAGTCGTTCCTCTGCATCTACATCAGCCATGAGAGAAGTAGGGACCCAGTCTCAATCAGTGTCCAACCAAAAACACCACAGTGGAAAGTTGTGAGGGTATTTCCTCCATAAATGGAAGATCAGGGACTCCACTAAACTGTGCATTGAGGTGCAAACCATCAGAAAAATATCACCGCGATTGCTGTTTTGACACACGCACCATGGTGGAACGAACGCACCCCACTCGTGGAACGTATAGCCTCTTGCTTTTTTCAAACACCGTACGAAAGAAGAATTTGATAACACACTCGTTCCAAAAGGTTACCCCACAATTTCATTATTGTTGGCCACATTAATACATTGTAAACGCTGAATTGACGCCATTTCAGGTGGTACTGGACAGGTGAAAGTAGCTGGTCTGGTCTCAAGGACTCATGATAGTAACCATTCAGAACTGGCCCACACATGGTCGAGGCATGCTTTGCATACACAGCACTGGTTAACACTGGCTAAATGTCTTATTTGTTTGTCAGAGCCTTGGCCTAAGGTTAAACTGCTGTGGTTTTCACACCTGATGATTGCTTGTGTTGCAATGGAAACGTCGTGAGAATTTTATTGTGTAATATTTTTATTATTTTATTGGTTTTCCCTTCTACGTGACTTTACTGAAAGAACCAAGAATATGAATATAACTCTGCTGTCATTAAAACACCCCCAAGTCATGGTTTAGAGTCCGATTAGCACCGACAGTGAAAATTTTCTGGCACATTCAGCAACATAAGCATACAAATGTTCCATAGAAAAAGCATACAAGTGTGGCTTTAAAAATACACACCGCTAAATTCTGTTAATCGCTTGAATGTGTAATTATTGTAAAGCACTTCCAATCAAATTAGCAAATTTATTAAAACAGATATTTAAAACATTTTAATTAACAATACAAACAATCTCCACCACTTTGTGTATCTGAGGAAACACAATTGATACAAAATTTAAAAAAAGTCGCTACGCTTTTTTCTTGCGAATGAATTGCTTGGCCTCCTTTTTGAGCGTTTTAATGTCCTCCTCTCCGTCCGAGAGCTCTGGATCCCACTCCGAGCCCTCCTCACCCTCCGAATAATCGTCATCGTCAATGAAGCTGTCTTCCAGGTCGGAGTCTTCGCCGTCATCGCCGCTGTCTTCATCGTTCGCTGCAAGTCACACGTGGGGATGTTTAGCAAGCGGTCCGACAGGCAACTACGCCGGTTGGACTCCCTAAACTCAACCCACCCATCTTAGTCCGGGTACTGGACTACATCATGAGCAGAAGTAATTGGAAACCAAAGGACTAATGGGCAGCAGCAAGTATAGGGGAACATACCTCCTAGTGCAGTACAACTACTCGAAGCAGATGGGTTTTCAATAGCCAATGGCTCTGACAACAGGGCCATCTTAACTGTGCCAAAGGCAGACGAGGCTCCAATAGGCCAGTGGGCATCAACAGCGAGGGAGAGCCGACTACAACGCAACAGCGCGCACCACACCATGGGCATGAGTTCTGATTCAAGTCTCGGGTGATGGCTCAGACGTCACCCTGATGAACTAGGTCCACGCAGTCCATGAGGGAACCCACGCTGGCTCTCGTGGTGGGCCGTGGGACACGTGATCCCAGCGATGGAATCCAGCAGTGGTTGACAGATTAAATCATAATTCTTTATAATAAATCCGGCGCTTTTTATTACACTTCTGGATGAAGGATAATGCTGCTTGAGGTTTGCAAGGACAAGAAGCTAAGTGACGTCACACCCCATAAAAAAAAACTTGCGCCAAAATTACACGTACTTCACCCAATACTAATCAACGTCATAAATGTTACCTGCTATGGTTATACAGTATTTGAGAGCTGTATTTGCGTGGATAGCATTTAACTCTATTCATAAACTGCGTTGAACTGTGCCCACAAACAACTCTACAACATTTACCTCTCTTGGTAGTTCTCCTTTGTGATCGCCCGGTCCCTGCAACTGCACGTGGGACAGCGTTTTAGAATACAATGTACGATGACAAGATGATAGTTTGGCAATGCTTATTTACAGACAATGGCAACCGTAGAGTCATCAAATTTTACAGAATATATCGGTGAAGTGGGGACCCCTAAAATAAGGTATTGCAAAAATTTTACACCAATGGGCTAAGGTGGTCACACATTTGTACATGGACTTTACAAGCTGCCACAATGGGAAGCTTCAATCAGCTTCATGAAAGAATCCTATGTTAAACAAAGACAAAGATCCTCCCCGCCATATAGCCTTAGCAGACTGTTGGGGCAAGTGTTGTTAGCGAGCACCTATGAAGGCCAGCACAGAGCACGAGGGGGGTGGGTGGCCAACACCACGCCTAGCCGCCTTTATCTCCCCAGTGGCGATGTTTACACACCGCACCAGGTACTCATTTGAGAGCGAGTCGACCGAGGGGAGACCCAGGACCGGTCCAGATAATCGTCACTGGTGTTGGTGGCCATGAGCGGGAATCGAACTCGGGCTGCCAGGTTCATTGCGCAGTGCACTAAGCGCCGCACTATCACTCCCCACAAAGACGATGTTCAACACGACGCACCAGCACATGCAACACTACCACCACATGTGGTTGGCCAAGACTCTGGAATACCCGGGTGGTTAATATTTGGTGCCCGTGTGGTTAGGTTTATTCACAAGAGCTGTTTATAGAACACCTGGGCCATTACAATAATGCATTGAGGTCAATCAATTAAAGCGCAGAAAAAATGTATGTAAGCCATGATTCTATGAGAATAGCAAGGGGTACCTGGGGGATTTGTGTGGTTGAATGCCATCCTGTGTTGCGGGTTCTGTCTACAATGGAAAAATATTCATGTTAGTCTCCTCCAACACAACCGGGCAAACTGATCGAAGCCATGCTCAAATATTAGAAATACAAAGCGGCGCTAAATGGATTTAGAATGGCGTTCACACCACAACGGCCACGGCTCAACAAAAACACTACATTCGGTTGAAATCTCCCTCAAAGTAATTGATTATCATTTAATTTCGACAGGCTTCCAACTCTCGACAGCTAAACTCTTCAAATGCAATAACTGCTCTGTAGAATAAGGCCCCGTAAAATGCAACAGTAATTGTAAATTGATATAACGCTAACTACTTATATTATAATACGAAAATTAAATTTTGCCATCTCAAGGAAACACAAAGACACTTCGAGTCATCTTGGGTTCATTATGCCGAAGTCACCGACATGAATGCCTGTGATAGTGTGTCTATGAGTCACCTGTAGCAGGAAGTGCCATATGGACAGTCGGGCTTGTCAGTATCTGCCACTTCATCATCCACCACGTAATCAAGATCCCCGGGATGGCTGCATTCTTGGAAATGCAATGGGTTCTTCCTGTCAGCAGCAAAACAATGTCAGTGTTGGGGATTATCTGGGCACCGCGCGGACTTAAACTAAGACGGTCAACAATGTAGAAAACTAACATTCAAATCCTATATTTGGCATATAATCTAAAAAAAATTATTTTACCACTGAAATGCCCGCTGAGCTACGTAGCTCTTTTTCAGAAGCGACCTGGTCACAAATGATAGCTCAACAAAGTGGCTTATCACGTGGAAATCTCGAGCAGCTAAATACTCTAAACGCACGTTTCTAAATGTGGAGGGAAGAACTGGAAGGACCCGGAGATAAATCCACACGACCACGGTGAGAACATGCAAACTCCAAATCTACAGCAGCAGGCGTAAGGGTCGGGATCGAACCCACGACCTCCTGCATACCAGGCGACGTAGTTAACATCTCCTAGCCACCATGACGCCCAATGTCAATATCTTGACATTGCTCACAGACAATCTTCCTGTGCCTCCTAATATCTAAAACTGGAGGCTTACTAACAAAGCTATTTATTCAAAAGACATGACGGCATTCTTGGCTATGACAACTTGCAAGGGTTTTGAATAAACTTGTCGCTAACTTCACTTTTGAGACCACTTCCCCTTCCTCACATTTCACACGGCCTTACATCTCAAACTATAAGTTCTTTGTCAGAGTGAACACCGGACGTGTATCAATTCACTCGTCGGCAATTCGATAAATGGCACAATTCGGCACCACAATTCGTTTCAAGGGAACATTTCTGTGCAGTCTTATTTTCTCATTTGTATTGTTTCTTGATACCTCATCAAGTGTGACCTACCAGTGCATGCACCCGTTTATACTGATGGGTGAACAGAGGTGGGGGTATGCAATAAAGCTGCACCATTGTTACAACTGCCACACCACGGGACCAAATTGGAGACCTGTGGATTGGAGACCTCTGAAGTCCAGTGTGCTAACCATGACGCTATGGCAGTGTTCCTAGATGTGTAATACATTTCTTAAATTCCAACGAGACCCACCTGTAGCACCTCTCTGCGTATAGGCAAGGCGTGCGCTGCATCTTCTGGGGAGGGGTTCCTTCCCCACGGCCAGAGTCCCCGGGTGAGGGACTACGTCTCTGAGATCCCCCAGGATGCACAGGCTGCTGCTGCTGCTGCAATGAGCGCTGTGAGCTTACAGACTGGCCAGATGACGTTTGTGGAACATCTGAAAAACACCATGACATACATACATAAAACGCACAATATGGATATGTTTTACGATTTATAATTAGATCGTTTTGGGTTAGATCATGTAGGTATCGTGTCAACTTTGTAACTATAACCCTCCACGAGCCAACAGAGCCAATCAAATCAAGTTGTCACGTGGACAAATGTGCCAATTGTTTTGGCTTTTCAGCACAACCAGCAAATTTGACAATTTTACATACGATGTTTCACTGGAGGTTATTACCAGCTTCATAAGGTGTTAAGAAAAGCTGCTCTCGTATGGTTGTTTTAAATGGTGATATTTTATTTTTACCCTTAATCCACACATATCAGAACATATTGAGAACTCATATTGAGGTCAACGTTATCACCCTTACAATGGATGTGGATGGTGCTCAACACTGCTGGTGGCTCTAAACCAGTTTTGGAAAAGCAGTATTGCTATGGGGGACAACTGTCTACCCATACAACCTTCGCTTCAGATTTCCAGGAAAGTGGATGCCTATTTTATCGACCCCAACCCTCAACATAATATTTTAAATTGTAATTTCACCTTGTGAGTTTGAACACTCTGTTAAGAGTCCTACCGAATAGAACTCAACGACATGAACAACACAGGCCAAAGAACTACACTGAACGCCCATTTTACATAAATGTGGATCGTTCCAAACATAAATATTACACGCTTTCCACAATTTAAACATAGCAAACTTTACAAGTACAAAAATGTGTATCAATAGTTGACTATATTAGTTACTAAAATCATACTTGATTGTTTAATTAGGAATCGTACCTGTGAAATCAATTTGATTGAGATGCCAGACAAGAGATAAAAAAATATGGACACAACATCGTTCCCCAGAAACTGTGACACCGTTCCTAAAAACATTTCTCACCACGTTCCGTGTTTACTGTTGGGAACACGACAGAGGCTTTTACACAACGTGTCGATGTAGGGGGAACGTCCACTACTCACCAAGTTGATCTTCCCGTGCTGGGGGGACTGCCTCTTCCTTCTGCCTTGGGTCTCCTGCTGAATTCACACTGGCCAAGTCACTTTCTGCAGGTAATTCATTCAGATCATCACAACTCCCAGGCTCCTCATTTCCAAAAGAGCTTTTCCGATCTTCCTCTTGCTTCTTGACCTGCAGTTCACATTTACATCGCACAGTTAATGTGCAGTTGTCTAATGAGTACGACAGAGCCCCCCTACATGGGAAAATCCTGCGCTGGGGATGACGTTCCTCACGCCACAACACAGGTTCACCCACAGGAAGCCTTCTCTTCCAGCACCCGACACCCACCCCGGCACTCGCCCTTATTTACCTTCCCTCTCGCCAAAACTTTCTGGAACCTTCCAGAAGTTCCTCGAAGCCCCTCTCCTTTTACCACCAAATATTCCCCGTTCCGGTCCCTTACAATCGCCCGCCTACTTCGTGGCTCAGTTATGGCCACCTTTCTTCACAAATTGTGGATGTAGTCCCATATCCCCACCAAACCTAAGCGTGCCCTGACTCGACCCTTACAAATATAACAGCGGTGCAGTATCTTCTTCTTACAAATATAACAGCGGTGCAGTAGTAATGCACGTCTTTCATAATTTTGAGGGATATGAGAAAAGTATGCAGTCACACATTCTTTGAGATTTATGTTGCCGTGTTCATTTATATCAAAGTGGGTTTTCACTTAAATGTGCAAGGCCAGGTGCGTGTATCCTGTTGAAGAGTTCTGAGCCAGGGGCAGAACCTCCACGTTTTTGAAGACAGCTCATGCAGACTCCTTGCAGCCCATTCAGACTCCATACAGCCCATTCAGACGTTCTCCAAAAATGTAACTCATTATATATGGACACTAAAATAATTAAGTGAATGCAACCTTCTGATTGTGAGACGCAATATCCCCAGTGTGTCACCTGGTAGCACACCCTACAACCAAGAGAAGTAGTTCTCAACCTGTGGCATGCAGAACACTGGTGGTCCAAAAGGCTGTTGAGGGCTCTGCGGAACTGTTAGAGGCTTCCCCGCTCTCTGCGGGAGATCAGTTCCAAAAACCAATGCGCCGCACGAAACGGCGGCCTGCCGAGTAGCGCACACCGTACACACACAAATACAATGTTGTCCCACGTCCGACCGCTTAGCCGCATATAAGTGAATTAAAACCGCACAGAGGATATTTTGGGAGGGTCGGGAGCGACCGCTCTACAGAATAAATGTAATTTAAAACGTTTCATTTTGCTTACCTTTGTTGATGTTATCTTTCTTTTTTTCTGAGTCCCAATTTCCACCTCATCCTCATCATCACTCCCCGGTCCCCTCCTCTTCCCAGCTCTTTGGCCATGTGCTGCTTGTGGTTTCGCACTGCCTTTGCCCTTCCCCCCTGAATTCCAACAAACCACAAAAGCAATGCTTCAAAAGCAACACTTGCATCCCGTACACGTGACATCGCATTACCATGTTAATCAAATGCTTAATTTGGTATGAACACATTTAATAAAAATGTCAAAATTCTGATCAAAGAACACCAATACTCAAGAAACAAGATAGGAGTGGTTTCCTATTGCCTGATACAATGCATAGAAGACAAAAACAAATGTCCCCTTTATAGCCTTCAATAGACTATTGGGGCAAGAGCTGTTAGCGAGCACTTACGAAGGCTGGCACGGCACACAAGGTGGTGGGGGGCCGGCACCACGCCGGGCTGCTTTTGTCTCTGCAGTGGTGACGTTTACATATCGTACCAGAGACTCATTTAAGGCTGAACCAACTTAGGGGAGGAGGCCCAGGACTGGTTCAGATGTTCGTCACTGGTGTTGGCCGTGAGCAGGAATCGAACTTGGGTCTCCGGGTCCAGTGCGCTAACCGCTACACAATACACAGAAACACCTTATAACGCCTGTATAATCAAAATGACTGTACAGCTGAAAGAAGCTAGAGCTTCACGGGAATTCATATTAACCCAGCTCCATTACAACAAGTGAAAAACCCGTGCACGGCCACCACTCCATGCAGCAGAATGATGTCTATTTTGTCCTCGCTTCATTTCAACCGAACGACATGCATACAATGCACACATCGAGGCCCACGTAGAAAAGTAAAACCTTTTACGAATGAAAACAATTACTGCAGCTACTAATACGTCGCGTGAAATGAGGTAAAATATACCTCCCAATTTTATGTGTGCTTTAATGACCAATATTAATATTATTATTTAAAATTAGTTTCTTTTGGGTTAGGTTGTGTACAAATGTGTCGTAAACCCTGCTCCACCCAACACAGCCAGTTAATAACAGTCACATGAATCAAACGTGTAAAATCTATCACTGCTTCAGTAGCAACCACCGCCAGTGTTGTTGTTGTTAGGAGAGCGATCTCACAATGTTTAAACGGGTCCCGACGTTTCGCCTGATGTTACATCCAGCATCATCATATCTCGAGAACGGAGCTCCTGAGAACAATCTGATGATGCTGGATGTGATCTCCAGCGAAACGTCGGTGCCCATGTAAACGTTGCGAGATTGCTCTCCAACAACGACACCGGTGGTGGTGCTGCTACTAAAGCAGTCGTACATCTGGCCACGTTTGATTTGCGGCACAAGAGTTTTACGTGACATAACCCAAAAGAGACCAATTATGAATCATACCTCTCAAATAAATATTTTTCAGAAAGTGGGAATCGTGTCTGGTTACGTTACCCTTGGACTTGGTGGGAGACTTCTCCTGCACATCGTCATCATCGGTCAGCATCCACGCCGGCAGCTTGCGCTCCCTCTGAATATTCGGTTGCTCACCACTAGCTGCATCCGCCTGCTGCTCATGGAGAATATACAATGTCAGCTTGAATGCTCACAAACACATTTTTCCTTTGAATCCACTTTTTAGCTGTCGAATATCTGCATATTCTTACGTTTCACAAGCAAATGCACCACTTGTAAGGACATACACAAGACAGGTTATAAACAAGATGTCATTCGGTCCATGCAGCTCATTCAATTGTTACAGATGCAGATCAATGTATTGAATCTCATCAAAAGGTGTTTCTCGAAGAGTCACCCAGTGAATCATCTTTGACAACATGCTTGTAAAACCCGTGCAAACGTTTACAAAAAGTGACGCCAATTCTAGCCTTGACATGTTTTGCGAAGATCGCACATGCTGAAGTTCATACGAGAGAAACGATGTTTGCGAAATACTTAAATCTTAAGGAGTATCCACTGTGGTTATACCGCAATATTTAAAATAACGTGAACTGTTTTGCATTGCAGGTTTTAACGTACTGATGGATGTGGGAAGTGCTGGCTGGTGTCAGGAGCGCAGGATGTGCCGTTTTCTTTCTTAGGCCCAGTACGATGTGACACTGCCAGGGCCGAGCTAGTGCTCTGCTGTTCTCCTTGGCTGGTACGAGGTTCCAACTTGGGTGAATTGATGAGCCATTCTCCTTTTGTTTCCTCAGGAAACACTTCCTTGCCCACAAGTTGTTCTTCCACATGCTGACTTTCATCATCGGCCTGAGCACTTTCCCTGTCCATCAAAGGAGAAAAACACAACGGACCATAAACTATAAGATTTTTTTTCACCAGGTGAGGCCCACTGAGCTATATAGCTCTTTTTCAGAAGCGATCTAGCCACATATGATAGTCTAGCAAAGTAGTTTATCATGTGGAGTTTTATAGCAGCCATATAGTCTAAACACGTGTTGATAAATTTGGAGGGAAAAACCAGAGAATCCGGAGAAAAATCCCCGTGACCACAGGGAGAAGATGCAAACTCCAAAAATATAGGCATCAGGGTCGGGATCGAACCTGTGACCTCCTGTATACCAGGCCAGTTATTAAACATCTCACCACCACGACTGCCCGAAGACTGGCATGGTAAGGGTTTAAGTGGTGTATTGCTTACACGACTATACCTTGTGGTCAAAGGAATGCATTAAATAACCAAGGAATTCTACGGTACTTTTACATAGAACATTGTTTTAAAGTTTAATACATTAAACTAGTTATGGATACAATGCTTAATAGATTTGTTTAGTGGTTGACTCAGACTACCATCCCACGTTGTGGGCAAGGCAACAATGGTTGGCCTATGGATAGATTTGCACCCGCCACAGGAACATGGCACTTCCACAACTGGTTCAGGGGCTTATAAAAAATGCTAATTTGAGCAGGAAATTACTTTTGACAGTTCGGGCTTAAAGTATGAACCCTCCACCCCATCCCTGAAGACTCTGGCACAGAACTCTCCTCGCCCCGGCAGGAATGGAACATCTTAGCCACACATTAAAGGGGAAAGTGAATACGAGGTCATATGGTCCCTGTTCTTGCTGGAACCCAGCATGAATAGCTGGGAAAATGGGGCCTGGGGAGAAGGGATGGACTCTGGATACTACAGTAACTTTGTTAATGCTATATTATTTCTGGTTCTGTTTAGTTACATTATCCTCCAGCCCCCCCCCACCCCCCCCCCCCCCCATAAAAATACAACTCCTGATTTTTTTCGATTTAAAGCTTTCGTGACTGCAGGGATTCATCTTCTTGGTTCTTTCGGTAAAGTCACGTAAAGTCACGTAGAAGGGAAGAACCAAGAAGACAACTCCTGATTGTTACCCCAACCGCAGTAGGGCAGTGAGCCCAGATGCCCCCAGTCGGTCTCTAATTTTGAGGGTGCATCTCTCCAGGTTTTGTTCCAAGTTTTCTGCTTGATTTCCCCCCGCCTCCCCCCCTTATCCGAATCTACTTTGTACTCTGGGTTATTGAATTACAATATAAATATAAGTAATTAAAAAAAAATTGGTGCTTTAAAAAAAAAAAAACTACACACTTAACACGGGGGCCACCGTCCTCGGGCACGTAGATGACCTCGTACACGAAGGCATCGGCAAGCAGCGCCAGACGGTCCCCCGGCTGCAGCCACGTCCACTCGCCCTGGGGCAGCGGCCGCAGGGCCGTAGAGCCCTGCGTGCCGTGGTAGCACGGGTTCACGTGCAGCTGCGGGGGAAGGAGGGGAGGGTGGAAAAACGAAGTTAGATCGTCACAGTGGCATTTTAGCCATGTGCTTTGGCGCGTGTGGCTCCAAACATCGCACCTCCTGGCTATTACATTCCTCGAAGACACCAGTGCAACCACCAACCACAACCACCAACCGCATCAGAACATCAACAGGCCGATGCACACATCTCGTTCATGAATTGAAAATTAAAGACAAGCTACAGTGTGACCTATGGAATAGCCGGAGTACACAAACTCCCTACTCCAGCAGCCCTCTTGTGGTCATCAGACCTCGGACATTGGCATTTAACTTGCCAAACGCAACAATAAAATAGCCTGGCATCACAATATAAGCACTGGCTATTTAATTTGGTGATGCCCATGTTTGTTGTCCTTCCTACTAACAGGGTGTAAACCAGTGGTAGAACAAGTCACAATTCACTCCGTATGATCCTTTCAAATCCTTCATCATATATTTCAATGTTCACTTTAGACTAAAATATAATTGTTTTCTCTTTCTCTCCAACCTTGCCCGCACTAAACTAATCTTCTCTAGCCTGCATCGGGTCTCCCGCCAAGCGTATAAAAGTGAATTGCACTTCTTTGGCTGCATCACGGACCCGAGCTCATGAGGTACTTGTTATCCCGCCGGCAGAAATCAAAGCTCTCTATGAGATGTACCCTGCTAAAAACCACACGACACCATGTTTGAGAATACTGGAACAAAAAATTGTCGATTTGTACACGTAAGGAATCGTGCAAAGCGATGCATTTACATGGCAGATTTATTTTAAAATGACAAACGTTAGTACGGAAAAGGATGATGAAATTGGTAGCGCACAGAGCTCATGTACCGGCTTCAATCGCAGCTTGCCCTCAACCAGCTCTAGCAGTCCATGCTCTCTGGACACTCTTTTGTCCGTCACCTGCACACACAACACACAGAGGCATAGCCAAACGGTTCCATGACAATCTCCAAGGATTGTTTTATTCACACCGCATTGTGTTAATGCATACATTTATGGTCAGCCTGCTTCCACCACAGGAAGTTTACACAGGAAAATTATCTGATTTCCAATGTGGCAAAAGACCTCACGACAGGAAGATGATATATAGTTGATCAAATATTGCAGGCATGTGGCAGCTGAAAAGCTATTTATCATAAATAGCACAATTCCAGTGCAAGTTTGACCTGTAAAGTTGTAAGATCGAAGCAAGATTAAATATAGTAAGAGGAGTATGCACTTTGTGCGATCGACATAAGGGGTTCCATCAAACAGTAATAGAAGAAACTTTACAACCTCCTGGCGTATCATCTGGTTTGCTCTTTCCGAATGTGAACATGTAATTTGGGTCACCCTGTATGACGATGTGATGCTCGTAATGTACCACTGTTTTGGACCTTTCAGTCTCAAAATTATCCCAAGTTTTGTGTGTCATGGTTATAGCTCACTGAGAAAGTGGGTGGGACTTGCCGCCTTCGCGTCCGGAGCTCTAACGGTGCGGAAAGCACTCCCGTTCCATATTCACAAAATTAAGTCACTTCCACTATTTAAGTTCCATTTATAAAACCTTTTAGTTTACTCGGCCTTTAACTGAGTTGACCTTGGTTAGGGTGTGCTGTCTCTTGCGAAGGGCAATTTTTATTGCTGTTGACTTGTACAGCATTTTGAGATGCAGTTTTGCATGACCATGCAATATAAAACATAACTATTATTATTAGCGAAAACGTCAAAGTACTATTCTGGAAAATCGCCCGGTGCTGGATTTAATAACCAGTAAAACGTCGTACTCAAATTGTAAATGTTGTGGATTTACTCCCAAACACACCGGTCGGCTGAACTATTAACTAATTGGCACATTTTGCTTACGCGACAAACTTTACTAATTGGCTATGTCGGATGGTGGCGATCTAACCCAAATAAACCTTTCCTATGAATACCTTAAATCGCTTAGCAACTCTCCAGCCTATTAAACGGTTAAACTATCTCTTTCTAGCTACACCAAAATGATCTTTAACAAGGTCTGTAGGAAGATAATCAATGGCAATGTTACTCTAGCAAATCACGATTAAACAGAAAGTGAATGCTCAAGCTGGAGTCATTATTGAGTGGACTTTTTAGAAAGCGATGAGAAGTTTTTTCTGTTGGCAAAATGTAGCTCCAGAAGTAATTTAGACAGAGAAAGTTGAACCAAAGACTGTGCAAAGGCATCACGAGTGGACTGTGAATTTAACACGCAGTAGGCTTTGACGACTAATAATTTAATGGTTGATGTTTGGGTCAGATAGCAAAAGTAAAATGCGTTGTACACCCTCCTCCACCAGAAACAGCCAATGACTAAAGTTGTCACATGAGCAAACATGCCAAAACATTTGTCACATGTTGTAAATTGCTCTTCCACACCTGTGTGCTGCAGCTGTAATACAATGATTGGCACGTTTGTTCTCTTGACTTTATTAATTGGCTGTGTCGGGTGATGGAGGGTATAAGACACACATTTTACTTCCGCGATCCGACACAAACATCAATTATGAATTGGTGGACAGCGAGTTTGGGTTGATGGGGTGCTTTTGTAAAACGAAACCTCATCATGAAAAGCAACACAGCATTGTGCTCAAAGATTAACGTACTCTTAGGTTTTTTCGGTAAAGTCACGTAGGTAAAAATTTTAAATTAATAAAAGTAAAATAAAACAAATGAAAAAAATTCACGATGTTTCGGAAGCAACACAAGTCTCCGTCTTCAGGTGGAACCGTCACAGCCACGACAGCTGTATCAAGTAAATGAGAGATCACAAGAAATATTACCCCGTATATATAATGGTTGAGGGGGGAAGGGCCAGGAACGGCACACTTTTTTTATTAATATGGTAAGGTGAGGCTTAATAAAAAAGTGTGCCGTTCCTGGTCCTTCCCCCCTCAGCCATTATATATACGGGGCAGTATTTCTTGTGATCTCTCATTTACTTGATACAGCTGTCGTGGCTGTGACGGTTCCACCTGAAGACGGAGGCTTGTGTTGCTTCCGAAACGTCGTGAATTTTTTTTATTTTTTTAATGTGTTTTATTCTACTTTTATTAATAAAAAATTTTACCTACGTGACTTTACCGAAAAAACCTAAGAGTATGAATCCTTGCAGTCACGAAAGCTTCAAATCTAGAATTAAAGATTAACGTGCTCGATCACTGTATAATATCACCTGCCAGAACAGGGGTCAGCAACAAAACTAACAAAAAATCGAATTCGGCAAATTTCAAGAGCCGCAATGCACTGTGTGGTGAAAACGAGACGGTGGTCCCTAGCAAATGACGCCACAAAGCAGCCCTTAAAGAGCCGCATGCGGCTCCACACATTTCCGACCCTTGTGCGAGAATGAACATCAGAAACACAAAAAAAAAACACGTTAACTCGAACTAATGCTGAAAAGTGGCGTCAGCAATCGTGGCCTGACACGTGGATTTTTCTCCAGGTCCTCCGGTTTTCCTCTCCACATTTAAAAACATCATACCTGTCAACTCATACAGTTTATCCATATTCTTGTACAGGGAAATAGAGTTTTCAGGTACATATGACGTACAACCGTTTCAATAGGAGCAAAATAAATATTTTTCTTTTGTTTGTGTTTTTCTCTTGCAATGGGACTTTACTGGATTATGTTGAGATGTATAAGGGCACGGGGTCACCAATACGGTTTGAATTGGTCTGTGATAATAAGGTAGGCACTGATAAGGGGTTCACAGGTATGACACATGCGTTTAGAGTATTTGTCTGCTATACATTTCCACGTGATGTTAGCCACTGTGCGTTGAGTGATCATTTGTGGCCAGGTCGCTTCTGATAAAGAGCTACATAGCTCATTTGGCCTTACCTGGTAAAATATAATTAGCTTAGTTCACGTGCTTGCGATGACCCCTACAGGAAGAGCAACGCGTAGCACGCAAGTCAGAGACGTTAAACACGGACATCTGAGGCAATTTGAGTAGCACGTTGGCTGGACAGGTCGATAGTGGTGCTGGAACAGCTTCCACAGACGAAACGCGCCGATAAGAAGTGGAGATGAGCGCCGTGACACTAGCTCAATGTCAGGATGTTTCATCAAAATATTGATTTATACTGAAGGAACCCGATGAGCTATAAATATATGTTTTCACACATGTCAAGTCGGGGCAGGTCAGAACGTTACAACAACAAACAATAGAAACACACAACAGGAAAGATAAACAAATAACTTTAAAACTATGAATGTGCTCGCTGGATCGTGGCAACTCGGTGAGACCTTCATCCAGCAGCGCAAATACCGTGGGCGAGTGGCCCTTGTAAAAAACCACGTGGGCAGCTTCATGCGCTTTAGACAAGCTGTTGATTCAATACAAAGTAATCAGGAGCGGGTGAATAGGGCGACCCAAGTGGGATTCGTGGGTGGGTTCAGAAAGGGGCCACAGTTCCCATGCGGAGGAACTTGAGGCGCGCAGCCCAATCCCGTGTCCCTCTGCTCCCTCTCTCCTCTCCCCGTGTCCCTCTCCCCGTGTCCCTCTCTCCTCTCCCCGTGTCCCTCTCCCCGTGTCCCCGTGTCCCTCTGCTCCATCTCCCCTCTCGCCGTGTCCCTCTCCCCTCTCCCCGTGTCCCTCTCCCCGTGTCCCTCTGCTCCCTCTCCCATCTCCCCGTGTCCCTCTCCCCTCTCCCCGTGTCCCTCTCCCCGTGTCCCCGTGTCCCTCTGCTCCATCTCCCCTCTCGCCGTGTCCCTCTCCCCTCTCCCCGTGTCCCTCTCCCCGTGTCCCTCTGCTCCCTCTCCCATCTCCCCGTGTCCCTCTCCCCTCTCCCCGTGTCCCTCTCCCCGTGTCCCTCTCTCCTCTCCCCGTGTCCCTCTGCTCCCTCTCCCATCTCCCCGTGTCCCTCTCTCCTCTCCCCGTGTCCCTCTCCCCGTGTCACTCTCTCCTCTCCCCGTGTCCCTCTGCTCCCTCTCCCCGTGTCCCTCTCTCCGTGTCCCTCTCCCCGTGTCCCTCTCCCCTCTCCCCGTGTCCTTCTGCTCCCTCTCCCCGTGTCCCTCTCCCCTCTCCCCGTGTCCCTCTGCTCCATCTCCCCTCTCGCCGTGTCCCTCTCCCCTCTCCCCGTGTCCCTCTCCCCGTGTCCCTCTGCTCCCTCTCCCATCTCCCCGTGTCCCTCTCCCCGTGTCCCTCTCCCCGTGTCCCTCTCCCCTCTCCCCGTGTCCCTCTGCTCCATCTCCCCTCTCGCCGTGTCCCTCTCCCCTCTCCCCGTGTCCCTCTCCCCGTGTCCCTCTGCTCCCTCTCCCATCTCCCGTGTCCCTCCCCGTGTCCCTCTCCCCGTGTCCCTCCTCTCCCCGTGTCCCACTCCCCTCTCCCCGTGTCCCACTCCCCTCTCCCCGTGTCCCTCTCCCCTCTCCCCGTGTCCCTCTGCTCCCTCTCCCATCTCCCCGTGTCCCTCTCCCCGTGTCCCTCTCGCCGTGTCCCTCTCCCCTCTCCCCGTGTCCCTCTCGCCGTGTCCCTCTCGCCGTGTCTCACCCCGAGTAGAGGGCCGCGACCGATGCGGGTGACGCCGCTGCGCGGCACCTCCACGTCGCCCGCGGCCCCCGCGCCCAGCGGCCTCAGCAGCGCCCCGCGCCTCGGCCGGGACGACGACGACGACGCCGCCGCCATGGCCGCCTCACTCACCAGGAGGGGAGTTGTCCACCTGGCGGGGAGTTGTTGACCAGGCTGGGTGGGTAGTTGACAACAACGAGCGCAGCAATTAGCGGTGACCCCCCCCCCACCAACAGTGGCAGTGAGTGGCGGGTAACGAATGAGACGGCGCGCCAACGAAGGGAGCCCACTCAAGTGACAGAGTCGATTCTGGATCAATTCTGGATCGGAATCGCGATTCGCTAAACACATCCGCGGGTTTGTGAATCGCGCAGTGCACACGGCACGCGTCTTGGCGAGTGGCGCGAATCGATTTCGACGACTCAAAATCGATATCGCGATCCTCGAGCGGCGAAAGGAGTCGGATTGATGGAATCCATTGCGAGTGTTAGAGGATGGGGAAGTGACTGTGATGAGGTGTAGGTGGTCGTGATGAGGTGGAGGATGCCGTGATGAGGTGGAAGTGACTGTGATGAGGTGGAGGAGGTCGTGATGAGGTGGAGGATGCCGTGATGAGGTGGAAGTGACTGTGATGAGGTGGAGGAGGTCGTGATGAGGTGGAGGATGCCGTGATGAGGTGGAAGTGACTGTGATGAGGTGGAGGAGGTCGTGATGAGGTGGAGGATGCCGTGATGAGGTGGAAGTGACTGTGATGAGGTGGAGGAGGTGATGAGGTGGAGGATGCCGTGATGAGGTGGAAGTGACTGTGATGAGGTGGAGGAGGTCGTGATGAGGTGGAGGATGCCGTGATGAGGTGGAAGTGACTGTGATGAGGTGGAGGAGGTCGTGATGAGGTGGAGGATGCCGTGATGAGGTGGAAGTGACTGTGATGAGGTGGAGGAGGTCGTGATGAGGTGGAGGAGGCCGTGATGAGGTGGAAGTGACTGATGAGGTGGAGGAGGTCGTGATGAGGTGGAGGAGGCCAGGATGAGGAGACGCGGCGGCATGGCCAGGGGCAGTTCAACCAATGCCTGTCGGTCTTCGACACCAGGGTGCTCGGGAGGGACACCGGGAGCGACTCGATGGTGCGAGGGACACGGGGAGACATCAGAAGACAGAGATACATGGAGACACGAAGGGCACGGGCATGGGACAAGTGGAGCCAGAGAGACTCACCCAGAGAGACTCACCCAGAGAGACTCACTCAGAGAGACTCACCCAGAGAGACTCACCCAGAGCCACTCACTCAGAGAGACTCACCCAGAGAGATTCACCCAGAGAGACTCACCCAGAGAGACTCACTCAGAGAGACTCACCCAGAGAGACTCACCCAGTGCCACTCACTCAGAGAGACTCACCCAGAGAGATTCACCCAGAGAGACTCACCCAGAGAGACTCACTCAGAGAGACTCACCCAGAGAGACTCACCCAGAGCCACTCACTCAGAGAGACTCACCCAGAGAGATTCACCCAGAGAGACTCACCCAGAGAAACTCACTCAGAGAGACTCACCCAGAGAGACTCACCCAGTGCCACTCACTCAGAGAGACTCACCCAGAGAGACTCACCCAGAGAGACTCACCCAGAGAGACTCACCCAGTGCCACTCACCCAGAGAGACTCACCCAGAGCCACTCACGACCCATTTCAATGCCCTGGCTAAGGGAAGGAGGTTCTCACCCAAGATTTGACGGTACATGGCCCCATCCATAGTCCATTTGCTGCGGTGAAGTTGTCCTGTCCCCTTAGCAGAAAAACACCCCCAAAGCATAATGTTTCCACCTCCATGTTTGACGGTGGGGATGGTGTTCTTGGGGTCATAGGCAGCATTCCTCCTCCAAACACGGCGAGTTGAGTTGATGACAAAGAGCTCCATTTTGGTCTCATCTTACCACAACACTTTCACCCAGTTGTCCTCTGAATCATTCAGATGTTCATTGGCAAACTTCAGACGGGCATCTATATGTGCTTTCTTGAGCAGGGGGACCTTGCGGGCGCTGCAGGATTTCAGTCCTTCACGGCGTAGTGTGTTACCAACTGTTTTCTTGGTGACTATGGTCCCAGTTGCCTTGAGATCATTGACAAGATCCTCCTGTGTAGTTCTGGGCTGATTCCTCACTGTTCTAATGATCATTGCAACTCCACGAGGTGAGATCTTGCATGGAGCCCCTGGCCGAGGGAGATTGACAGTCTATTGAGTTTCTTCCATTTGCGAATAATCGCACCAACTGTTGTCACCTTCTCACCAAGCTGCTTGGCGATGGTCTTGTAGCCCATTCCAGCCTTGTGTATGTCTACAATCTTGTCCCTGACATCCTTGGAGAGCTCTTTGGTCTCGGCCATGGTGGAGAGTTTTGAATCTGATTGATTTCTTCTGTGAACAGGTGTCTTTTATACAGGTAACAAGCTGAGATTAGGAGCACTCCCTTTAAAAGTGTGCTCCTAATCTCAGCTCGTTACCTGTATGAAAGACACCTGGAAGCCAGAAATCTTTCTGATTGAGAGGGGGTCAAATACTTATTTCCCTCATTAAAATGCAAATCAATTTATAACATTTTTGACATGTGTTTTTCTGGATTTTGTTGTTATTCTCTCTCACTGTTCAAATACACCTACCATTAAATTATAGACTGATCATTTCTTTGTCAGTGGGCAAACGTACAAAATCAGCAGGGGATCAAATACTTGTTTCCCTCACTGTAGGTAATGAGAGCAAGGGGATTCACGTGTGAATAAGAGGAAGTATTCATCTGAATAACAAGCAAAAGTGCAGATTCTCATATTTGCTACATGTGGGTTCTCATGTTTTACTGAATATCTGTGAAAACTACCAGACATCTGTGAAAAAGAGCTTTATAGCTCATCGTATTCCTCCAGTATTAATCCATGTTCTGATTTTGATTGACGTGAGACATCAACGAGGAGAAAATCGGAGGCAGCACAACAAGTAGGTGCTTGTCCTCATCTCTGTACACGTGGGGTTTTTTTCCAGGAACTCTGGTTTATAAATATGGACAACCAGGAAAGTGGCGAAAACATCTCCAGCGAGACCCTCCTGCTTGTGAGGCCTGACGAGATTTCAGGACGGCTGCTTGCATTGTGGCCGAAACGTCGTGAGAATTGTCAGTATTTTATTATGTTTTATTTGTATTATTTCATTATTTCCCTTCTACGTGACTTTACCGAAAGAACCAAGAAGATGAATCCCTGCAGTCACGAAAGCTTTAAATCGAAATTGAGATTTCAATAGTTTCGTCTAAACTAAACAATGTTTTATTTGACCAGGTAAGGCCTCACTGAAGCTATATTGCTTTTTTTCAGAAGCGACCTGGCTATCACAAATGATAAGTCAAGGAAGTGGCTCATCGCACGACAATTTTTAATAGCAGCCAAATACTCTGTTAACGTGTGATGTTGATTTGAAATGTGTCCAGACGTTGGTGCATTGCAATCAGAATCAGAATAAACTGGAGGAATCCGATGAGCTATGAAGCTCTTTTTCACAGATGTCCAGTACACAGATGAGCCATGGCTAATATTAGTGGGGAGTGACATCTGCATTGGTCCGGGGCAATTTTTGTATCGACCCACACTGACCACGCTGGTATGGCAAAACTACCCCCATGACGAGATGTGGATCAGCCCTCTTCCACCAGTGAATTGATGACTAAATAATGCATGGAGGGCAAAACCGGAGGACCCGGAGAAAAAATCCACGTAACCACGGGGAGAAAGACACGCAAACTGCAAATATATAGGTGTCAGGGGTCGGGGGTCGGGATCGACCTCCTTCAAATCAGGCGAGGTAGCTAACATCTCGCTACCACGGATTCCCTAAAAACCCTTCTCATTATAAAATTACATCATTTATAATTCCTTGTCAATCCACTGGTGGATGACCCCCACCCCCCCAGACAATGTCGGTCATGGGGGTTATTTAACCATACTTCACCACCCTGGTCATTGCGGGTTGAGGAATGGAATTTAGATTACCAGGTTCACCACTCCGATTTTAAGAACCGCACTCGTGTTAAATACACCGTGGAGAAGGCTTTTGAAATGCGCGTTTATTCAGACACAATTCAATGTCAGTTAAAATCAGTATTATACAAAGCAACGTGTGCTCTGAACAGTATCTTAATGGCCTTTTAATGTAAAAGCACATTTCATATTTCACGACATTAAAGTCTCTGTCACCACCTACTGTTTCAATGGTGAATTGCATAATGCAGCTTGGAACGGTTAACTTTGCAGGAGACAAAACCAGGGTATAAGCAATGATAGTCACGTGGCTTAAAATGATGGGGACAGCCAAAGGTACATGGGCCTATTATTTCAATATCATAACGTACATTTTCTCTCCAAATTTCACAGTAATATTTTAACATAAAGGTGAGAATTGTAGCCTTATCTGGAACAACCATTACATTGGGATTGCAATAGATTTGATAAATACTGTGCAATGCGTGTTGCTTTGTTTTACCGCATATGGTGTATGCAAGTGCGAGCGTAAAGTACACGGATGATTCACACGCCATAAGTAATTGCACAAAGTAATAAACTGTAATGCAACATTCCCGCCTGCACGTGATAATGCATTCACCCACTATCGCATGCCCTCTTCTGGGAGCATTGAGGCACACTCAGTATTGCATTGTATTTCCATATTACATTAAATATCTTTTTATCTATAAAAATACTTATCGCATATGCGGAAATACAATATTTGATGTAAAACAAAAGCACTAATGTTGCCAACAGCACTTGTAGTACAAAGTAGCTTCCTTGGACCCCAACTAACCGTGCTGGGGTCCTTAATTAAACAATCCAAGGGGTTGGGTTGTGCACCATTCTGGTCAAATCTCTCAAAAATAAATTAGATGCAGGCCACTTGGACTGAGGTCACAAATACCAAGTGATTATGAAAGAAGAGACACCTCCCAACGCCAAGCCCAGTGCAGTGAATGTCATCATGATCATGCCAGCTGTCTCTGCTTGGTGGGCATTGACATTTCTACACACGCACGCACAATACACACAACAAACCCTTTTGTTAGTCTGGGTATGTCAGGGTAATTGTTAACAGAGCCCTTAATATGGCTGGAACAGCACACAATTGGGTGGTGGTAGGGTCATTCCTATGCACGCAGCGGCAACTATTTGTCCAGTCGGCACAAGTAGTTGTTCCCCAAACTCTGAATGTCAAGTACAGTTCGTTATCCTATAACACCGCGTGTTGTTTGCACAACGTGAATTGGATACACATTTTTTTTTAT